TCTGAAGAAGGGTCTAGGCCCGAAACGTCAGCCTTCCTGCTCCTCTGGTGCTGCTTGGCCTGCTGTGTTCATCCAGCTCTACACCTTGTTATCTCAGATTCTCCAGCATCTGCAGTTCCTACTATCGCAGATATATTATTGTTTGACTAAATCATTTTAGCAAAGATATGAAGATGCTATGTGTCTAACTATAGTTTTTTATTTCAACAAAATATTTTCATGAATGAAAGAGGTTCTTGATCATCCACAAACAAATCACTGTTTTGAGTAGAAGTAATATCTTTTTGAGATGAATCCTGATCAGAAGGCCTGTTTCTATGTTTGAAAAGCCTAGTTGAAATGAAGGCACAAGTACCACCCCAACATTGATTTGTATGTGATACTGTAAATTGAAAGTTCACTACTCCAATCTAGGAGTCTCAGATTTGACATGCACCCTCTGTCAGCAAATGTGATCAGGCTTTCCAAATCAATTAAATTGTGGTGCAAGCTAAACAAAGTTGTGTGTGAAAGATAGGGAAATGTTTTCCTGACAGCCATAACTCCTTTCAGCAGCTGAATCAGTACCTGTATACTTTTTTTTGTAAAGTTGGACCAGTTAATGCGAGACTAACTCTAGTGTAAGGGCATAGTTTAGAGCGAAATTGCACCAGTGTAGGAAATGTATGGCAATTTTTTCATTAACTGCTACCATTATCAAGTTGATCAGCCATTTTGTTTACACTGATAATCCAGTATTTTAAGAGTACAGATCACTAACTTGCCTTTCCAGATGCAAGAAAGCAATAATTGTTAACAGTTTCATTAAGTTTCTGTAAACTCAACAAATTGTTGGGTGATTTTAAGAAACTTGTTCAGAGTTAATGCAACATTGGTTGAAGAGGAGGAAGGGAAAAAGGAAGTTTGAAAGTAGAGTTCAGCTAATCATCATAAATTTAAGCTCAGTGCACCTTTTATGGTTATGGTACACTTTTAATAAGTTTATTTTGTATATGTGCAAATACTGAAAGATAATTCTTCCTATTGGATTTTGTTTCTAATAATTTAGAAAACTCTTCTAGCTTTCAAAATTACAACATTTAGAAATGTAGTCTGGCCCCACGCTTCTCATGGAATCCAACAGCACAGAAGGAGGCTACCATCCCGGAGTTGCAACCTTGAGCAATTGAATTAGTTCCCCTCCCCTGCTCCTTCTCCACAACTCTCAAAAAGTTTCCTTTGTAAGTCTGAACTTCAGTTCTGCTTTGAAAGTTACTAGGACTCCAATTTCTTCATCCTTTGAGGCAGTGAATTCCAGGTCATAATTTACTGCAAAAAAAACAAAATCTTGTACTGCCTTTGTTCTTTTGCCAATTCTCAAAGATTGGTGTTCTCTGCTTCATGGTGTTCTTGCCAGCGGAAGCAGTTTGTCAAATCACCCTTTAATCTCCACTGTTTCTGCTATGAAGAGAACACTCCTAACTCCTCCAGACTTTCCATAAACTGAAGTGAGATTAAGTCATTGAGTCTGTTTCTGTGCTGTATGAGTCTTCAGTCCAATTCGTCCACGCTGACCAGACATCCCAATCAGATCTAGTTCCATTTGCCAGTATTTCGCCCACATTCCTCTAAACCCTTCCTATTCATGTACCCATCCAGATGCCTTTTAAATGTTGTAATTGTACCTGCTCCCACCACATCCTCTGCCAGCTTGTTCTATACACACACCACTCTCTGCGTGTAAAAGTTACCTCTCAGGTCCTCATCGGCCATCTCAATCCAGATGTTAATGATCCACTAGAATGGACAGAGATAACTTGCTTCTTTGGTTTCCCTTTCTGCTCTCTTTTTGTGCGATTCATGTATGTTGCTCTTTTCTCCCTGTTGCTGTTGCTGAACATTGGGAATCCCTATAGGGAATTGTGGGTTTGAACTGCTGATACAATTCATGAATTAGTGTTTGATGATCAAAGCAATGTTACTAAGTTTTATTGTGTATGTGAATTTTCCAATTTAGTCCGATTTAAAAAGAATGAATGAAAATGATTTTGACATGCACTGCTCATTATAATATTAGTTGTCATTAGCTTAAAGATTGGTTCCCCATCTTCTGTTTTTATCTACTTGTCTCTCAGTAGGTGAGCAGAATACAGAGAAAAAAGAGGCTTTGGAACTTTCAGACACAGGACCACTGGCCACGAGTAAGTCATTTCAGTGTTCTATGAAAATATTGTTACATTTTTTAGAGAAGAGTTAAAAATATTTCAGTTGGGGATGCCTGAACTGAACCTGAGCTCCATTTTCATTCATGACTTTTAAATAGAAGTTGAAGCGCCTTCCAAAAATATTGTTTCCTGTAACAATTCTAAAACTCATTTTTTGTTTTTGGCCATCTATTGTTGCCTTTTAAAATTTTTCCAATCCTCTGATTTACCACTAATCCTTGCCACATTGTATGTTTTTAATTGCAATTTGTTGCTATTCGTAATTTTTCCAGTTACCCACGGTCAGTTTATCCCCATCCTAGAACCTTCCTTCCTCACTGGGATATATCTTTGCTGTGAGTCCTGAACAATTTTTGTTTAATGGATGTCAGTTTAGCTCAGTTGGCTCAACGTTTGCTTTGCGAAGCAGTGTAATGCCAACAACCTGGGTTCAAACCTTGCACTAGCTTAAGTTACCATGAAGGACTCTCCTTCTCAACCTCTCTGACAAATCAGAGGGTGGCTGAGAGTCACCACACTGGAATTCTGGGAGACATCACGACTGTACAGCAGTTCAGAGAGAACCTGGTGTTATTGGAATCTCTTCTGGAGTAGAGGTGACCTGTACAAGAGGGATGGGTTGCACTTGAACCAGAGAGGGTCCAATATCATTGCAGGGAGATTTGCTAGTGTTACCCGGAAGGGTTTAACCTAGTTCGGCAGGAGGGTGGGACTCTGAATAAGAGAGGGGCCATCAAGAAGTCAGGGGAAAATACTTTAGCCATCGAGAGCAAGTTTACTATTCAGGATAGTCAGGGGCACAGTAAAGAGAGGGAGATGACTTCTGGTTTAAAGTGCATTTATTTCAACGCACGAGGCCTGACTGGTAAGGCAGATGAGCTCAGGGCATGGATTGGTTCTGGGGACCGGGATATTATAGCCATAACAGAAACATGGCTGAGAGAAGAGCAGGACTGGCAGTTCAATGTTCCAGAACACAGAAGCTACAGGTGTGACAGAAATACAAGTAAGCGAGGAAGGGGAGTTGCTCTTTTAATAAGGGAGGACATTAAAAACAGTGCACAGAGAGGATATTCTTAAGGGGTCATTAAATGAGGCCAATGGTTAGAACTTAGAAACAAGAAGGGGATAGTCACTCTGTTGGGACTGTATTATAGACCCCCAAATAGCCAGTGGGTACTAAAGGAACAGATGTGTACAGAGATTGTAGATTCCTGTACGAATAACAGCGTAGTATTGGTTGGGGATTTTAATCTTCCCCTGGATTGACTGGGCCACCTAGAGTGTAAAAGGCCCAAATGTGTCCGAGTATGTTTCCTAAATCAATATGTAGGGGACCCTACTCGAGGGTGCAACACTGGACCTCCTCTTCGGAAACGAGGTCAGGCAAGTGACTGAAGTATCAGTCGGAGAGCACTTTGGGTCCAGTGACCATAACTCTCTCAGTTTTAACACAGTTATGGAAAAAGATAGGACAGGTCCACAGGTCAAGGTGCTAAACTGGAGCAGGGCCAATTTTGGGACCATTAGGCAGGATCTAGCAGCGTTCAATTGCGTGAGTCTGTTTGAAGGAAAAGGAACAACTGGCAAATGGGAGGCTTTTAAAAATGTGACATCAAGAGTCCAGGGACAGTATGTCCTTGTTGGGGTGAAGGGAAAAGCTGGCAGGTTTAGGAGTCCCTGGCTTACAAGGGATATTGAGGGTCTGGTCAGGAAAAAGAAGGCATACATTGGGTTTAAGCTATTGGGCTCAAGTGAATCCCTAGATGACTATAAAAAGTGTAGGAGCACACTTAGGAGGGAAATCAGAAGAGCAAAAAGAGGGTATGAGATGGATCTGGCAGATAAGGTTAACGATAATCCTAAGAGGTTCAATAGCTATATTAAGAGTAAAAGGGTGTCTAGGGAGAGAATAGTCCCCTTAAAGATAAGCATGGCCATCTATTTGTGGAGCCACAGGAGATGGGGGGATTTTTAATGAATATTTTTCCTCTGTCTTTATTGAGGAGAGAGTCATGAATGCCAAGGAAATAAGGGAAACAAGTGGGAATGTTTAGGACCGCATACATATTACTAGAGAGGAGGTGTTTGCAGCCTTAGATCACATTAAGATGAATAAATCCCCTGGGCCTGATGAAGTCTATCTTGGATGTTGTGGGAGGCTAGGGGAGAAATTGCTGAGGCCCATTTTTTGTTTCTTTATTCATTAACGGAATGAGGGCGTCGCTGGCTAGGCAGCATTTATTGCACATCCCTAACTGCTGAGAGGGCAGTTAAGAGTCAACTACATTGCTGTGGGATGGAGTCACATGTAGGCCAGACCAGGTAAGGATGACAGTTTCCTTCCCTAAAGGGCATTAGTGAACCAGATAGGTTTTTCCAATAATCGACAATGGATTCATGGTCATTATTAGTTTCTTAATTCCAGATATTTTATTGAATTCAAATTCCACCATCTGCCATGGCGGGATTTGAACCCAGGTCTCCAGAATGTTATCTGGAACTCTATCAACAATCCAGCGATAATACCACTAGGCCATCGCCTCCCCTATCCTATGCAGGGATTTTTGCTTCATCTTGGCCACTGAAGAAGTTATGGAAGAGTGGAAGGTGGCTGATGTTCCATTGTTTAAGAAAGGTAGCAAAGACAAGCCAGGGAACTACAGGCCAGTGAGCCTGATATCTGTGGTAGGCAAGTTATTGGAGAGGATACTGAGGGACAGGATCAACCAAGATCTGGATAGTCAAGATCCGATTAGGGATAGTCAGCACGGATTTATGCGTGGAAAGTCATGTCTGATAAATCTTTTAAAATTTTTCAAAGAGGAAAGATGAGGGTAGGGGCAGTGGATGTTGTCTCTCTGGAATTTAGTAAGGCCTTTAACAAGGTACCACGCAGCAGGCTAGTTATGAAGGTTAGGTCGCATGGGATCCAGGGAGACCTAGCTAATTGGATTCAAAATTGGCTCGATGGTAGGAAGCAGAGGGTGATGGTTGAAGGTTGTTTCTGGGACTGGAGGCCTGTGACTAGCGGTGTGCCACAGGGTCAGTGCTGGGACCTTTATTATTTGTTATTTACATAAATGATCTGGATGTGAACGTACAAGGCATGATCAGTAATATTGCAGATGATACAAAATTAGGAGGTATTGTTGATAGCAAAGAGGGTTATCAAAAATTACAGAGGGATCTTGATCAGATGGGGAAGCAGGCTGAGGATTGGCAAATGCAATTCAATACAGATAAGTGTAGGGTTTTGCAGTTTGGAAAATCAAACCAAGGTAGGACTCATGCAGTAAATGGTAAGGTCCTGAGGAGTGTCGTGGAACAGAGGGACCTAGGAGTACGAGTGTATGGTTCGTTAAAAGTGACAACGCGGGTGGTAAAGAAGGCATTTAGCATGCTGGCCTTCATCGGTCGAGGCATTGAGTATAGGAGTTGGGATGTTATGTTACAGTTGTATAAGTTATTGGTGAGGCTGCACTTGGAGTATTGTGTACAGTTTTGGTTACTCTGTTAGAGGAAGACATAGTTAAACTGGAAAGTGTGCAAAAAGGATTTACAAGGATGTTGCAAGGACTAGTAGACCTGAATTATAGGGAGAGGTTGGCCAGGATAGGACTTTATTCCTTGGAACGTAGGAGAATGAGGGGGTGACTTTATTTAGGGGTATAAAATCATGAGGGGCATAGATAGGATGAATGCATATAGTCTTTTTCCCAGGGAAGGGGAATTAAAAACTAGAGGGCATAGGTTTAAGGTGTGAGGGGAAAGATTTAAGAAGGACCTGAGGGGCAACTTCTTGATGCAGAGAGTGGAGTGTATGTGGAATGGGCTGCTGGAGAAAGTGTTGAGGCAGGTACATAAGCAACATTTAAAAAATGTTTGGATCGGTACACGGATGGGGAGTGTTTAGAGGGATGTGGACCAAATGCAGGCAATTTGAACGAGCTGAGTGGGCACCATGGTTAATATGGACCAGTTTGGGCCAAAGGGCCTATTTCCATGCTATATTACTCTATTACTCTATGACTCTCCCCTCACTTGAAGTGTGGTGGCCCATCTCTCTCTAATGAAAGAGCACCCCTATGTTCTAGTAAGACTATAGCAACTTGACTTGATTTTCTTAAATGTCTGCCATTGCTACTCAATGGTCCTTTTTTTGCTAAACTTCTTTCAGGGTCCATTCCAGCCAACTCTTCCCTCATTCCAGTGCAACTAAGTTTAGTACAGTTGTTTCTAAGTTTCTCCCTGTGAAACAGAATGCTAAATTCTACATTTTATGGTCACTGTTCACTAAGGCATTTTTTTTTTTTACTCTGAGATCATTCATTAGACCTGCATTATTACACCATACCAGATCCAAAATAACCTGATTCCTGGTTGGATTCACAATGTACAATCCTCAGAAACTATCCAAATACATTTCATGGAAAGAAATCTTCCTATGTACCTCTACGTTCCTTATAGTTTACAACCAAAGATTAGTAGTTTAATACAGAATTTTAGGAAGCTTTGTCACCAGTTTTCTTAGAGTTTCAGCATGTTCATACGCCCAGAGGTGAAAGGTAAGCGAGTAAACATCCCTGCCCCTCATTTCCATACATTAAAAGTGACCTATTCTGGCTATACATGTTTGCGATCATTTGCAGTTTTGATGTATGCCATATTTTATACAGTGTTCTCCTTACTCCTTTCTCTTTGATTGTCCCATGTCTCGATTACACTTCTTTTCTGAATCAGGGCTAATTAAGTATTTAGGACAGTATCTTTGCTCTCATAGTGTATTGATTCTGCAAATATTGAACTACTATAGCTTTAACTTCATTGCAGCAGCATAAAGTTGTGACTTTATGCCTTTATTATTTATTTTGTTATTCCCTTGAAGGAATTGTGAATTTGGAAACTTGCTTTGATATACTATTAGGGGGAGCAAGTAGCAGTACTGTTTCAACCACTGGCTTCACTACTGATACTATCTGGTTCCTATTGAGGAAAGACCTTCAAACACTTTTTCCATATTGGTTGAGTAATAACAGTGTTTGGTCCTGCAGACCCCATCTTCCTGCCCCCTGCATTTGGCAGGATGGGCAAGCAGCAGACATCAAGAACTGGTTATTTTTAGTCTTCGAGTCCCACTGGAATGATTCCTTGACGTTTCTCACCTACAATCCCTGCCTCCCATGCTGGGGCCAGTGTCCTGATGAATTGAATAACTAGGGCTGTAGACAGGGCTAATAGGAGGTGGGTATATTTTGGGAGGGATCTTTATGTTGGCTCACAACGCAAAAGGATATGGCACCATTGCACACCAGCTATTTTTATTTAGAAAAGCAATAAATAGGATCAAAGTGGAAGCAAAAGTTTTAAAAGGCAAAATTAACGACTCTTTACTTAAATGTGTGTAGTATTCAGATAAAAATAAATGAAGTAACAGCACAAATAGGGATCATTGGGTATGTTCTTGTAGTCATTATGGAGACATGATTACAGGATTAAATCTGACAACTAAATATTCAAGGGTATGTGACTTTACAAAAGGGCAGGCAGGAAGGAAGGAAAGGGAGGTGGGGTACTTTTGGCAGTACTAGACAGAACAGTACACCAGCAAGAAATTATCTTGTATTAAATGATGTAAAATTCATACGGGTGGAGGCTGAAATTAACGAAGGGAAGAATCACTGATGAGAGTAGTCTACATGCCCTCTAACAGTAACAGTTCTGTAGGACAGAATAAATCAGGAGATATTGTGGGCATGTAAAAAGACATTACATTAGTCGTCAATGACTTTAATCTTTATTTAGATTGGGAAAATCAAATTGGCAGTGGTGGCCACGAGGAAGAATTCGTAGAATGTATTCACATAGAATGATAGTTTCCAAGAATAAGGCATTATGGATTCAACCAGGGTCAAGCTATTTTAGATCTGGTAATGTGTAATGAGGCAGAGTTAATTAATTATCTGAGTGAAAAATCCCCTGGAAACAGTGACTGTAAAATTGTAGAGTTGTGATAAGGAGGGCATTTCAGGATGCAACCTGTAACTAGTCATGTGTCACAGGGATCAGTGCTGGAAACAATAATTTGTAATATACACTAATGACTTGGATGACAGAATTTTTTTTATGGGATGGCATCACTGGTTGACCCAGCATTTATCAACCATCCCAACTTGCCCTTCGAGAACATATTATGGCCAAGTTTCCAGCTGAATCAAAAATGGGTGGAAGGCAAGCAGTGAGGACACCAGTCATCTACAGAGGGATATATGCAGTTCATGAGTGCGGGAAAAATAGCTTGGCAGGTAGAATATTATGTGAAAAAGTGTGAGGTTATGCACTTTGACAGTAGGAATAGAAGGGCTGATGTCACTTAAATAGTGAAAAACTGCAGAAAGGCAACATAGGGATTTGGGGTCCTTGTACATGAATCACAAAATGTTAACACCCAAGTTCAGCAGGAATCAAGAAAGCACAGGACCAAGGACAAGTCAGAATACATCTGGAATAACATGAACAGTTTTTGTCCCCTTATCTAAGGGAAGATAAAATTGCATTGAAAGCAGTCCACAGAAAGTTCACAAGATTGATTCTGGGTATGGAAGGATTTTCTTATGAGGCGAGATTGAGTAGTTTGGGCTTTTCCTCATTGGAGTTTAGAGGAATGAGAGGAGACTTTATATGAAACTTGCATGATTCTTAGGGGGCTTCACAGGATAGATGTGGAAAGGTTGTTTTCCCTTGTGAGAGTGTCTAGGATTAGAGAGCATAAATCTTAGAGTGAGGGGTTACCCGTTTAATACAAAGTTGAGGTATTTCTTCTGAGTCGTCAATCTGTAAAACTCTTTCCTGCATAGAGCTGTCGAAGCTGGGCTGTCAAGTATATTCGAGATTGTGATAGATTTTTCATCAGTAAGGACATCAAAAGTCATAGGGTAAAGGCAGGAAAAGGTAGGTTTGAGGGTTATTAGATCAGCCACGATCTTATTGAGTGCAGAGTAGGCTTGTTGGGCCAAATGGCCTACTTCTGCTCCTGTGTCTTGTGGTCCTTTCGAAAATGGGGAATGGACTACAATAAAAATAATGCTTCCTAGCAAACTGCAGCAATCTTCTTTTAGTGCATTTATCCATTAATCAGTACATCAGTTTATCAGATAATCTGATTTATTGCCTTGCATGTAACATTAAAGATTAGTCTGTTGGATGAGCTAATTGGTCTATCTAGCTATAAACTGACTGCTACTTCTGTAATCATAATTTGGGAAATGTGGACTGATTTGTAATGTGTACTTCAAGCCTTCACTTGACTATCTCCCTCAATTGCACAATGGAGAGTTCTGGCTTTTGAACTGGGCCACAATGGCAACAATGTTCAGAAGGACTGTGTAAAAAAAAAAAAAGTACATAAATTACTGTGTAAAATCAGTTGTATATATTCTGCACATAACAGGAGCACATTGCCAAACTTGAAACTTCTGTACATTCCTGGCAAAGTGCTCCATTTGCATTAGGTTCCATCTTTCAGAAGAGATTTTAAACCAGAGTCAACATTATCCATTCAACTAACAATTCATTCTTCCACCATCACAAATCAATTAACTGGTCATTAATGTCTTCAGTATTTATTGAGCAAATGTCTGTTGGCACCACTGTGTCAGCCAGTGTTCGGGTGGGATTTAATAGCAGGTCTTGCACTCTCTGAGTGCAAGTTGCCTCAATGGAATCATTCCCAACCACTTTGTGGTGTAGTCTGAGTTGATTGGATAGTTCTGCTTGTCAGCTGTCCCCATTCCAAATAGGAATAGTTGGTATCATTATATGCAGTTGTTTGCAGGACCATGCTTTATGCTTATTTGCTCAAGTGTATGTCAGCCATTACAGTGGCATCACCAAGAGTACGTGAATGACACTGGGGCACTTCTGAATGTCCTGAGGAGTGTGACAACTGACAAGTACTATATAAATGCAAGGGCATTCATTTGTTTGTTTCTGCCCCTCGTGCTTTACTGTTATAAATACTGTATTGTATGATTATTACTGTTATTTCCACATCGTCTCTAAGAGTATCATTTTATTCTCAGCACCTCAACTTGTTCCAGAACAAGTATCAGCCAGTACAGTACAACAAGGGACCATTGTGAAAAACGGTAGGATAGTCACAACTGAAATATTAAAATCTCCAATATTTTTCTCACAGGGAGACAGTGTTACAGTAGTAATGTCACTGGACTAGTAATCCAGAGACCTAGGTGAATGTCCTGGGGTCATGGTTTTGAATCTCACTAGGGAAAGACAATAAAATCTGCAATTAAAAGCTAGTCTAACGGTGGTAACCATTATCAATTATTGTTTTTAAAAAAAAAAAAGGTCTGGTTCATTTAATATCTTTTAAAAAAGGGAATTTGTCATCCGAACCTGCTGTGGCTCACATTTGACTGCAGATTCATAGCAATGTTGGGTGACTCATTACTGCCCTCTGTAATGGCTAAGCAAGCCACTCAGCTCACAGGCGATTGGGGATGGGCAACAAATGCTGTATCTGCCAGAGACCTCCACATCACGCGAAGGAATAAGACAAAACTTAAATGCATTCACTTAATCCTAACCATGATGCAATCCTAGCAGCTAGCCATTTCATTGTAATATATTTTAACCAACAGAACTAATGTAATGGTTTATGTAAGTGATGTACAGATAGTTCTAAAGAAACATACATGACAATTTCTCTGAAGGCCTAATGGTATGGTCACTTTCTCTGAGCCGTGTAAATAGACAGGATACTAGGATTAATCATGGGTCAGTGTTAACCTGACGGGCCGGCACAGTGGCTCAGTGGTTAGCACTGCTCCCTCACAGCGCCAGGGACCCAGGTTTGATTCCACCCTCGGGAGACTGCCTGTGTGGAGTTTGCGCGTTCTCCCCTGTTTGTGTGGGTTTTCTCCAGGTGCTCTGGGTTCCTCCTGCAGTCCAAAGATGTGCAAGTTAAGTGGATTGGCCATGCTAAATTGCCCATAGTGCAGGCTAGGTGTGTTAGCCATGGGAATGTAGGTTTACAGGGATAGGTAGGGGGATGGGTCTGGGTGGGATGCTGTTCACAGTGTCAGTGTGGACCTGTTGGGCCAAATGGCCAGTTTCCACACAGTGGGGATTCTTTAATCAACCTAGTTAATCTTAGCTGGCGCATCGATAGGGCACAAGAATTATTTTATTGGCCATCTCCATAGTCAAAAGCAAAACAGTTACACATACAAAGTGCAAATTATTAACTTGCTACTTGATATTACTTAACTTACGTTTTGCTAAGAAAATATTTTGTGGAAGCTTCTCATCTTGCATGCAAAAAGACAAATGATAAAACAGTATTTATACTGTATGAAAGGAGAGTCCTAATTAGTTTTGTGTAAAACATCCCTTGGCAGTGAAGAGCTGACTTGTTCCACCTATCATCTCCTGAGCATTTTCATTTCACTGATCTATTTTTTATTACATCAGGGCTGTTAGTTTTGAATTAGACATGGTAGTCCAACCTCCGTCAGTATGTCATTGGCTCCAATCTTCCTCTAAAGAGTTGAGTGCACAACATTATGCAACACATCTATATAGGTCTGAAGGAGAATTTCACTGCTGAAGATCCTGTCTTTGAATTGAGATGTTAAACTAGTGTTGCATTTACCTTCTTGGGTAAACTTAAAAGATTCTGTGGCAGTACTTTTAAGGCAAGCAGTTAAATTCTAGTGGCCTAGAAAATATTTATTCCCCACGCAATATCACTAAAACTGATTTTCTAGTAATTTACTTCATTGCTGATTATGGGGTCTGTAGTTGTCTCTATGTCTATACTTCCAGTGTACTGCTGTGACCTGAGTTTGAGCAGTGTAAATTTGTTGGTTCATTCTCATGTTTGTCTTTCCTTGTGTATGGAATAAGTAGGTTTCAGCTGCAAATATATCATAAACATTTGCCTTGTTTTCACTAATCAATTTATGGGCTTTCTTGTGCAGGAGAAGACTTTAATATTGGAAGTGAAACGGGTCAGAGGTAGGTATATACTGTCAGTATTAGTCATTTCATTTTTAAAAAGAGGCAGAAATAGCATTACCTTTGATTAACTCTCAAATGTAGTTTCTCTTTAACTTGGTGATTGAAAGACTTTATTGTAGAGAGAGATGGTTTAAATTTTCCCCATTAATTACTAGCACTAACTTTGGGTGCAGATTAATCCAGGGCTGTGCTAGATGCAATTGGCTTCCAAGTTACTGCGCATAACTTATAGCCAACATTATTAGGGGGAAACGTGGGGGGAGAATCGCAGGTATGAATACTTCATCACCATGTTACTGTATTGTGTTGTCACGCCAGTTTAATTTGATATCATGCATATCATCTTCAAATTTGAAGTGTTTTACTTTGTCGTTTTTTTCTCAAGATGATGATGTTTTTGTCAGTTTGATGATAATTGTCGCAACTGTGCCTAAAATATCAAGCTGCACCCCTACTGCTATGTTTGTGCATCATCTTGGAATTTCTATTAGAAAGTTTAGCTTTTGGTTCTTCAAGAGGATTTTAATTTCAAAACCAGAATTTGTTTGATCTTCCCACCACTGTTTCTCCCACATAACCATCCCAAACATTTTAATACTTTAATTCTTTATTTCCCCGTCAGCAGGGACAGGCTATAAGAAGCAATCTCTTCAACTCCAGCCTGAAGGTCTCCTTAAATTAATCCTTTCTGTAAGAAACAGGAATTGACTGTTTTCACCCTGTGTAACTGTGTTCCATGGATTGAGAGTTTACCAGAATATTGATTGTAGCTGTGCGTTGAATTGTTTTAAACATTTTTCCCATTTTCTTTTGATTCTGTTTGCTCACTGTTAGCTTATTGCTAAAAGCTTTGACCCTCTCTGGGCAGATGCTCTGACTGAATCAACGGATGTGATGATTAGAGTTTGGTTTTGGGATAAGGATAAATCTGACATTATTGTACATGGTTTTATGTTAACTGATCTTTCAAATGTCTTTCCCCCTCAACTGAGAGATGGAGAGGCATTGGGAAATGCCCTGTTAGCGTATTGAGATCCCTGGCTTGAACTTGAATATCTCTGTTGTTTTCAGGTGTAATTCCCTGTGGTGAGTCCAAAGGAAAGGACCCAAGTCCATTTTTTTTAGTGCTAAATGTTGCTGTCTTTTTCTTTTTCACCAACTATTAGCTAAAATTGTTGAAGGGATCTTGTCTTAAGTTAGCCCTGAGATTGCAAGGTGATTTTTTAAAAAATTGTTCTTAAGACAGATGGGAAGTAGCAGTAAATTCTTGTAATAGGTACACTGTATTGGACAAACATTTTTTCTGCTATTTGTGGTATCCAAAAATAAGTTTTTTTCCCTTTCATGTTGATTGTTTCTGAATTTCTAAATATTAAAGGTGTATTTTAATAAAAGGTGGAAATAATGCTCGCTCGTATTTTCTTGGCAGTGAAGCAAAGAGCAATCTAGAAAAATCAAAAAGCCCCAGTAGAAGAAATGTAAAGGCTGAAAAGGAGAGTGAGGAGTCTTCATCCCTTCAGGAGTCTTCTGAAAATGGACAACGGAAAAGGCCTTCGCGACCAGGCTCTTCAACAGGGGCAGCAAAAGGTAGAACCCAAGTTCTTATATTCACCATATGAAACACTACTCTGACTTTCATTTCATAAAATTAAGATAGATGGTATCTTCACTTTTATTTGAACAGATTTCTTTGACAAAATCTGTTGATTTTTTTTTTCCCAGGGCTTTGCCAATGAATATGCAGGCTTAGGGACTGTCTTTGTACCACCAGGTTGTTACAGGTTGTGTTGCTGCCCTATGGCCAAATGGACCCCACAGTCAATTAAGTCCTAGTTCAAGTTTTAGTCTTTTGATCTCACGGGTCACTAGTTGGAGCTGTGCAGTTGACCTTAATCCCTCCTAACCCCATCTAGTTCTGGGGTTGGGGGAAAGCTTCATCTGGATCTTCTGTAAACCAGTGACCTTTTCAAACAATCGACGTGTGTAGATATTATGCCATGTCATTAGATACTGAGCTTTTTCCCCATTTGGCCATTATTGTCTTCCTCTACTTAGGCTCTTAAGTAAGTGCTAGTTTGCGTAAAAATATTGCATAGCATCTTTCACAACCACTGAACGTCCCACAGCACTTTATAGTTGACGAAGTGCATTTTGAAGTTGTTGTAAACATCTCGAGTGACTGTGTCCCATTTTGCATCAGCATGGCCTGGGGAGGAAGGAAAGTAGAGAAATTGGGTCTTGAGTGTCAGGCTATCATTTTATTCCCTGAAGCAGTCTCTCTGTTGGTGGAAATTGTTGATCTTGCAAGACTAGAACCGAACAGGAAGACAGGCCATCAGGAATCTTGGATTCATTTTAGTTCAACTTCGTATGGAGTGCGCAACGAGAGTATACAATATTTGCATTTTTGCATCAGTAAAGTGTTAAAATACTCTGATATGGGGAACATGGTGTTGTATCCTGTGGAGATTTGTTTAACATATACATACATAACTATTAATATTTATATGTAGATATTTATTTGTTTCATGTGAGTGTGGCCTGAGAACAGGTCCTTGGCATTTTATCTGTTGATGTTAGTGATGGGTTTTCAATATCCTGTATATTCGACAGACCCCAAGTCTGAACTGAACCCATGCAGCTGGTACTATCTGAACCACATTTTAACCAGTTTGTCTAACCGGCCTCCATATTTCTGCAGTTACACTCTGCATTGGGGTGAAGTTTGATTAACTTCCTAGTGAAGGCTTCAGTTATGAAAAGTGGAATGGGAAACAAGGAGGCAGAGCACCGAGTGGAGCAACTTTACTATTTAGTCAGTCATTGACTCATTATAGTTACAGAAAGGGAGTGCTGAACTGTTCTAACTTTTCCGAGCTGTGTCCTACTGCTTTAGATTGAAATAAAATAAAACTGTCTCTTTATGGTGCCAAATAGACCAAAAGTAAGAATTATTTTGTAGCAACTGACAAAAGGTATAATCTTATCTGCTCAGTTTTTCTTGAACTCTGACAGCGGTATGGTTTTTGGGGCACCTTTGGCAAAGGCCAATTCTTTTGTGCAAAATTGAGAAATAGTGTTGGCAAGCACTTTGACAGTGGGGCATTCCATCTTCACCCAATATCCACATGCAATGTGTTCTGGCCAATCATGTGAACCCTGTGGGTCTTCCTTTTTGGCAAATCATCATCTTTGGTCCAGTGGGGAGGCCAGTTATTAGAATACTCACATTTATAAGCATCATGTGAAATGATTTCTGAGGTTTCAGTGTTTCATGTGTATTGTGTGGAGCTCCTCCTGCAGTAATATAACTCACAAATATCGAACCAGTTTCCACCTTGTACGAAAATTTGGATGCACATTGGGTACTGCCTTTACTAATTAAACAATTTCAGAATATCTGCACTTTATTTTCCAAAGAAACATGCTTATCTTCTTTCCCTCCTTTTTCTCCTAGATACCAGTACAGGCACCAGCCCTACACAAACAAAACGAAGAAAATCCAAATGAAATTTCTCAATTGTGTACGTGTGAAGTGTAAATGTTTGTGAATTTAATTAATTTTTCTAGCCTACTTTTCTAGCATGAACTTGTGTATAGAAAACTGTTTTAATATTTGTCCCACTGAAATGTGACTTTAAAAAAATTTCTTTATATTCTGAAACTGTTTAACAAGGTAAAAACCTGTCATACAGCCAGTAAAAATCTTCCAGAATGTAACTGTACTGGTAATTTCTGTTGCAAAGCTAAAGTAAATTGCCAGCTTTTGTCACTGTCACAAATCTTGTTAGAATGTAGTATGTTGTTTTTAATTGGTATTTCTGACTGTTGAAGTGAACGTTTTTAAGTCTTAAATGTGAGTATTTGTACCTGGGTGCAATGAACTCCATCTCCACTGGATAGTTGAGTCCAAAGCATATCCCTTTCCAGTTAGTCTGTGAGCTATTTCACTTCAATAAAGGCAAAATACTGTAAATTTTGAAAACCTGAAACAAACAGTGCTGGAGAAACCCAGCAGGTCTGGCAGAATCTGTGGAGAGTAAAAGAGTCAACGTTTCAAATTTGGTATAACTTTTCTTCACTTCGAACTTGAAACATTGCCTCTGTTTTTCTCTCCACAGATGCTGCCAGACTTGCTGAGTTTCTCCAGCATCTGAGCTTATTTCACTTCAGTTATATGCTCATGTACATTAGTTCCCCTAAAACTTCACTCTGGGAAGTTTGTATCTATTCAGGGAGGGGAAACAGAGGTGCAGAATATTACGAATGCTGAAAATCTGAAATAAAAACAGAAAATACAGGAAATATCCCTTCAGGTATTACAAAATGTCTTGATACAAAATATTAACTGCCTCCCTCTCTACAAGTGTTGCTTGACTATTTCCAGTGTTTTCTGTTTTTATTTAAAGAAGCAAACAGCACAGCTCATTATGATGTTGAATTGAAGAGCCAATCCAACTCTGGCAGATTTTGAAGCCTCCTTGTCACAGGCATTGAGGTTGTAGTGGCATTGCAGACTGAGTTAGTTTTGTGTGGAAATAGTGAGCATGAATAATCATTCCTGCAATGTCTGCCATTGAGCATTACATTGTGATGTAACGCTAAGCACAAAAAGCAATTGAAATTATTTCAGGTGGTGACTGGATTAGTGGCTATTAGATAAAAACAAATAATATAATTTAGACTCTCCACAATTCAACTGCAGTACAGAGTTTCCAGGCAGTCATTGCTACTTAAGAGTCATCAGCTGTGTACAGTTTAATCTACTTGTGTGTCAGAATAAAATTAAATGTAGAAATATAGATTTGTAAAGAATTAACACCTCTGGTGATAGCTGTTTATTGTACAATTTTTGACAACCTGCTTCTATTTGACTTTGTGCATATCAGATGTATTAGAATGCAATTTTTTAATTTGTGACCTTCCATCTGGTGTAGTGTTTATATTTTTCATTCACTGACACTTCTACATTTCTCCTCTCGACAAGAGGCTGGAATGTCATTTGAGGGTTTTCAGACACTACTCTCTCCAAATGTTTAGTACTGCTTTTCCTCCCTCAGCCAACAGGTGCCACAAGCCTTGCTACCAAATTAGTCTCTCCTGCACCTTTCAGTCAAGGTCCCTGATGAGCTGAATCAGATGAGGGTTGTATTGCTATTCACTTTAATAGCTTGCATTTTTAGAAGCCTACTGTTTAAAGTTGGAGAGACTCAAAAGAAAAGGATGTAGGTAGTGGGTGATATGTGGTTGAAAGACTTAATAATTATTCATTTCTACAAAACCATTTTCTTTTTAGCACAATGTTGCATTAAGTCCTGTAATGTCCAAACTAAGGAAAGTAGTGTTTTCTTTAGTTGTTACTTGTCCTCATTTCAGAGTTACAATTTAGTGGATTTGTGCAACCTTTTATGGAGGAAGAGGAAATTAACTTTTCATCTGGATGCAGCATTGCCCAAGGAGAATTAATCATTAAACCAATTCTTGCATAAAAGTTTGAAACCCTTGTTTCTGATTTGCTGTTGAAAGGATAGTTCTGCACGAGGTCCTCTGGGGATTGTGTAGGACCCAACTGTCTGATCTTCCCTCCATCATAAAGTCAGAAGTGGGGATTTCTGCTTATTATTGCAATTTTTCATTACCATTTGTGATTGCCCAGGTTATGCTGCAAGTAGCTAAGCAATGTTCAGGCTTGGGTTCAAGTGGTAGGAATGTTACTTGTCACTTAAATGTCTCGTAAACCTAAGATAATCTAACAAGCTTCCTTGACGTTCAACAGCATTACCAAACAGAATCTAGCATCATCACTATCCTGGGGGTTACCATTGACCAGAAACATACTGGACTAGCCATAAATGCAGCTACAAAAGCAGGTTGGAACCTAGGAATTCTGCACCAAATAACTCCCCACCTGCCACTTCAAAGCTTATCTATTATCTGCAGGGCACAAGCTAGGAGTGTAGTGGAATGCTATCTACTTGTCTGGATGAGTTTAGCTCCACAAATGCACAAAAAGCTCGATACTATCCAGGACAATGTCTGCTTGATTAGCACCTTAAATATTCATTCACTCCACCATGTTTATACTACTGCTACTATATATTTACACTCAACGTGCTGCAGTAAATCACCAAGGCTCCTTTGGTAAAACTAGAAGCCTCAGTGTTGCTATAATTACACAGTTGCCACATTGTGCTGGCATTGCAGAAAAATGTTTAAGGTGCTTGGTCAAGTCTGCCATCAAATGACCTTGTCCCAACTTCTGAATGCATCTTGGACACAATGATGTGTGTATGACTGGCCCAGTAAAGCTTCTCATCATTGCTGATGACCAGGATGGTGTTGACAGATTCAGTGATGGTAATGCTGTTGAAAGTAGAGGAAGATGGTTGTGGTGCAAGTGTTGCTTTGCCATGTATTAGCCAAAATTTCTATTTTTGCTGCAATCAAGCTCCAGTTGTTTCATTGTGAGTTGAATTGTAACTGACCACTGCCATCATCAGCGAAACTCTCTCTATGCCTGACCTTCCAATATAGGAAAAATCTTTGAAATAACTAAAGATTATCATCCCTAGGACTTTGGCCAGAGAACTCTTGTAGTGATATCCTGGTACGGAGATGGTTTTCCCCCTCTGAAAAACAGCCAATTTCCTTGGTGACTCTGACCAGAAGAGTGCTTTCCCTGTCCCCTACATCTAGCCTTAATTTTACTAGGACCACACTGCAATCTTCAAGAGCAGTCTCTGTCTGTTCTTCTGTCCCTGCTTGGGCCAAAACTGCAAATGAGGGCTGGAGCGAAGTGCAATAAGGAATTGTAGCATCAGAGCACAGAAGAGGCCCTTCAGCCCAACAGAAACTACTAAAATCTACACTAGTCCTACTAGGCCCATAACATTGAATGTTATGACATTTCAAGTACTCATTTATTTTTTTAAAAGGTTGAGTGATTTCCTGCCTCAAGTCCCCTCGCAGGCAGCGCATTCCAGATTTCCACAACCCTCCGGGTGAAAAATTCCTCAAGTCATCTCTAAACCTCCTGCTTGTCACCTTAAAATTATACATCCTTGTTATTGATCTTTCAGCTGCCTCTATTCACTGTCTAAGCCCCTCTTAATCCTATGCATCTCGATCAGGTCAACACTCTCTGCTTTAAAGAAAACAACTCAAGCTTTTCCTGCTTATTCATAGTTAAGGTGCTTTATCCCAGTCAACATCCTGGTGAATCTCCTTTGTATCCCCTCCAGTGCAATCATATCCTTCTATTAGGGTGGTGACCAGAACTACACATGGTACTCTAGCTGTGCCCTAACCAAAATCTTATACAGCTCCAACAGAACCTCACTGCTCTTAGAATTGGTGCCTTGACTGATAAAGGTAGGCAAGGCAACAATATGGGCCACTTGCCTTTATTAACCTTGAGGGATCTGTGAACAAGCAACCCAAGATTCCCCCTGTTCCTGAGTTTCCTTGTGTTCTGCCATGCATCAAGTATTCCCTAATCATTGCACTTTTGGGGAAAAGTGCATCACTTCACACTTTTCAGGGTTAAATGCCATCTATCACTGATTTGCCGATCTGACCAAGATGTCTGCATCTTCCTGTAACTCACTGTTAATCAGCCACCATTCTTGGCATCCTGTACAAACTTGCCCATTCCCCCCTACCCCCACATATTTCTTGTGCATCATTCCTATATCTCAATAAGGAACCTAACACACAAAAATGTTGCAAAAAGAAAATGCAGGTTAGGCAGCAGCTGTGTAGAGCATTTCAGGTCTGTGATCTTCCATCAGAATAGAGAACAGTCAAATGATAACTTTGGGTGGGACAAAGTCAAATCTGTGAAAGGTGGAAGATGAAGGTGGTTGAATGACAGAAAAGTTAGTCCTCCAGAAGTGTCTCTCTGCAGTATTGCTGCCAAACCTGAATTTTGCCAGTATTTTGCTTATTTTAAGTTTCCATAACAGTAGTATGCTCCTGGTTGACTGGAGCCAAGACATCCTAGTAAAACCCAAACTGAGCATTTATGAGCAGGTTATTGGTGAACATGTTGCTCAGAGCATTGATTGTTAATAAGAGCATAGACTGAAAGTGGACTTTGTCATGATGGAAGATTTGAAAGATCAGAGTATAGAGCAGGAGGAAATTCAAATATTAGTGAGCAGGTGGAAAAGTGGGTGGTCTCTAGATTTACTGGAATCTTTTCCTGCTAAGCAGGAGGTAGAACGCTTTGGAGAAAAGTTAAACCATTCACACTATAGGAGGCCATTGGCCCCATTGTGACTGAAACAAAAAGGAGGGAGAGAATCCTGAATGAAATTTAAATGGTTAACAAGTACAGGGAAACAAGGTAAGGGAAAAGGAGGAAGATGTGCTTGAGGTGTAGGTTCACACATCAGAAGCAGTGGCGGGGTGGGGGGAGGTGTTCGGACCAGTTAAAAAAGAGCCATCAGGGTAATGTAGTGCTGTGCTGTCTATTCACCAACAGGGATTACAGCCTAATAGGGTGATGGAAGCAGAAATGATCAATGCATTCAGAAGGAAAATTAGATAGGCAGCCAAGGGGTTGGGACCTAAACGGGTTACTCTGGAGAGCTGCCACATGTTATGACCAAGTCGTTCAACCCAGACTAGGAAACTGCTTTGCATTGTAAAGCATATGTTACAAATACTAAATCCAAATTAACTTGAACTGTCAGCAAAAGATATCCCTACTGCCACCTGTAAAAAAAGGTCTTGTCATCATTCAGAATGTGCAAGAGTTTGCACATAATTAGCATGATTTCATGTAGCTAGTGTTGGGAACACTGTCTTAATGTGAATATCTTGAATCAGCTTGTTCAGACGGGTTATGGCACACTTCTGAAGCAGTTGTAACTTGAACCTGCACCTCCTTGCTCAGAGATGGGTCTATACCACTGTACCATAGGAGTACACCATTTGCATAAAATGCTAAATGGCCTCCTGTAATGTAAAATAAGCAGCACACACCTTGTGACTCAAGGGGAGCAATAGGACCGCAGCAGAATCATTAAAAAGAGATAGTATGCCCAATGGAGCTGCCCTTGCCCAAATTTCACAAATGATTTCCATTAATCTTCAGTATGATAGCGACAGCTATCATTTTAGTCATTAGACTTGGAATTTCAAGCATTTTGGGACGGTATGAGAATTATAAAACTCAAGCAATTCTACACTATTAATCTTGAAAGTGAAAGACTCAGGACGACACTTTTGGAAAAAGTGAACTTTTATGAAAATAATGAAATTCCCACAGTCATCAAGTGGCTACAATAGTATTAATGTAAGCACTATTACCACACCCATAGTCCAGTTATAAATTTCACACTTCCAAGAATTAAAAAATTAAAGACTAAAAAGAAAAACAAGCTGCCTCTTTTTGCATAGGACTTTACTGTTGCTACTCAAGTCTCCCATTTCTTTTTTTAAATATACGTACACAATTTAAAAACCCATCAAACCATCTCCAAAGTGGAAGGCACATACACAGTCAATTCAATACATGATGAGAGGTAAGTTACTGATGAAAACAAGCAGTTTTTTCTAATTAAATATTTTACATATTATCTTGTAACACTACAGTATACACTGGGAATTGTAATTAGAACAAAGGAACCAGTTATCACCTTGTGTTATTACAAAAATGTGGCTTGATCACTATAGCTGCTCAGTAGAATATGCAAAATTATTTATAATACGACAACAAAATTTACAAAAATGACACCATCGTTTAGTACGGTGTTTCATCCTAATATGCTGTAAATATAGTCTGGCAATGATGTTGAACGTCCAGCAGGTGGTGTGTACGGAACAGAACTGCAACCTTTATTTTCTAAAGCTAGAGCTGGGCAACATTAATGAGAGAAACAGAGAGGAAGAATATTATGCAGATTTCCTTGGGAAAATATTGACTTAGAGCAAGTAAGAGACTGGGATTAAACAAGGTAGCCCATCTGGAGAAAACGCGAGGATAAACATGATGGATTAAAACGTACTATTTCCATGCCATAATCTCAGATTTAGAAATACATTCTGCTTCTGAAATTCAGCGGGTTTTTTTTTGCTTTTAAAAATTTAATGGTCTAACTATTTGAATATCAAGACAGCATTGCAGACCCGCAATTTGGAGAGGGGGTGGGAGCGTAGCAGGGAATGCCATTCGTATGTTCACTGAATTTCCCCAGAAGAGTATTGCTTTAAGAGTCCAGGTTAAGAATATTTTTCTAATGTGACACACAAAGCACTTAATATTGTACATCAAGACCTATTCAAACAATCAAATTCCTTAAATGAGAAGGAATTGAGAACTTACTAGCTTCCTATAAAGATCACAATTCACGAAAAGATTGATTCTCAAGTAGATGAAACAGCTGCAGGATACACTGAAGTATTTTGTGAATTAGACAGGACCCTGCATTAAATTAAAACTTAGTGTAAAACAAAAGATAGAGGCTTGTCCATTGAAAATGTTCAAGTACTAAAGAGATCATTACACTTCCATACAACAGAATGGATAAAATCATTCACCTTAAACCTGAATTCTCAAAACACCATGCATGGAGAATTAAAATATTATAGTAGACTCAGTTGCTTCATTTGAAAGAAAGCAGTCTTCATGCTGAGAGTAATTTTTTCTTTGTAAAAAATATTACTTTTTTTATTATCCACCCTGACATTGTAATGAACAGAAACCAGGAAAACAGTCAAACTAAATATGCACCAAAGCCTCAGAAGCTTTTTGTTCAATATGGATGTTATTTTGTTTTCGAATTTTAAAAACACACACTGCATTGACATATTGTCCCTGAGAGAGTCTGCGCTGTCTAGAAAGGAAAAAATTGCAGCTCACATCACATATATCCTTAAATAAATCAAACAAAAAACATACATCAGCAGAACACTCTCATTCCAGTCACTGACAAGCAATTCTACTTCAGAATACTGGTCTCAATAGCACAGCATATACTTCAAAATATTCTATTATATTTAAGAGATATAATACTGTCCACAAACCTACATGTTTTCAGTTACAAAATAGTTATTTTTGTCAGTCAGCACCACACTTTGTTGATCCAGAAGTTAGACTGTAGTGTCAGGACCTTTTAAGCAAGGCATCCAGTACAAGTTAGTCAGTAGATACAAATTGCTGTTGAAAGCCCCAGTTACACTAGTGCAAGTACAGTGCAGTGTGTACATTTATCAGAGTATGTTACAAATACAAATTACATTATTAGTGACAAGCATTTTTCCCAATTGGCAGTTAGATTTTTCTGTGCACTCTTTCTCCCTCTAGTCCTCCCCCACTCTAATCATCTGTTAACTAGGTGGACAGGAATTGTGAAGTGCATCATTAATTGCTCAGAGAGAGACAATGATGGTTGAACAACTTACTTCTGCACCATTACAATTCTGTGATTAGTACTGATAGAAAGTTCAAATTGAATTAAAGGTGGAATTGTAGAGTAGCTACACGGTAGCATGATTAAAGAGGGACCAAAGGCTGGCCAAGAAAATTGTGATGCAAAGATGCCAGTGTTTGACTGGGGCGGAGAATGTCACAGGTCACACGCTGATCTGAGAAAGGAGCAGCTCTCCGAAAGCTTGTGATTTCAAGGAAGTTGGGACAGGGAAATACAGTTGTTCACAAAAGAAACAAATTGCTGAAAATGCACAGCAATTTGATCAGCACCCTAAAGAGGCAAAAAGTCACAGTACGAGATCAGCAAGATGTTGCTGTAGTAGTAATGTCTTGAGACTAGTAATCTAGAGTCCTGAGCTAATGCTGTGGGGACACAGGTTCAAATCCTAACACAGCAGCTTAAGGAATTTGAATTTGATTAATAAATGTGGAAGTAAAAGCTTGTCTTAGTAATCATAATCATGACCCATTTCACAACTGTCTTTTAGAGAGGGAAGTTTGCCATCCTTAAGCAGATTGGCCTGAATCCAAACCCACAACAATGTAGTAGACTCTGAAATGTTCTAGCAAGTCAATTAGTTCATGGGCAATTAAGGATGGACAAAAATGTCAGCCTTGACAGTGACACACACATCCCATGATAGAATAAAGAGGAGAAATCAGTACCATATTTTAAGTTAATACAGATCACTTTTTGTGCAAAATCTATATAACAGAGGAATTGCATCAAATATAGAGTTAAAAGTAATTCTTATTTCAGTGCGTTATTTCTCGGGACCAACCTCTGTTTGAAATCTGTTCTGCAAATGGGTGGGTTACATTTTCCAGTGAGTATGGCTGGAAATAAATCCATTGTAAAAGATATGTTCATCAATGAAAAGTAAAAGAAAATACATGTTTGCAAATAGCACAGTGGTGAAATATGCTGGTGCTGTATAATCCACCGTTGCAGTGCAAATATTACTAGCCAGGTCCAGGCAGTTTCCCACATGGAGAGCTCCAAGTCACAACTGATCAAACTTTTCAACAGATTGAAAAGTATAAAAATGAGGACAAGTTAACTATTCACTCTTCCTCAAGTGTAAAGGTGAATTAACTGATTTTTGGATTAAAAAAGTCATTTGACCCAAAGTTTTAGAGAGGCAACACGAGAGGGGAGATGAAATGCACTCAAAGGTGAGGAATGGAGGACAAGAAATCATTAATCCATTCTCTCCCATTTAAAGATGCACAAGTTGGAAATCAATTTCAATATATATTTTCAACCTAGAGAGAGGAAATCAGTGAATCAAAACTAGTCCTACTGAAGATCTGTATTTTTATAAAGGAGGAAAGTACATTCTCAAGTAAAGGTCGTAACTGTCCAGTACAAGTACAATTTTTGGAAAAATCTTTTGGGATTTGTATGTTACTGGCAAGGCTGTATTTAGTGTCCATCCCTTCCCTTAGTGGATTGAAGTGGTGGTAATGGACCACCTTGGAAGCACTGGAGGTTTTGAATTGGAATTCCAATATAGAGAGACAACCACCTGACTTGTTGACCCAAGTTAGATGGCATTTGAGAAATCAGGGTCATATTGAGTCATTACTGGTCAGTCAGGTACCTCTTCTCATGCACCCCTCTGTCCCAGAACTTCCTGTAGCTCTGCAAGTCTATTTTCCTTAACTGTACATTCAGTTTCATTTTGAAATAAATTATCTCCAATACAGGCCTGACTAGTAGCAGAGTTCCTTCCTAAAAAAGAACATTAAGTGAACTAGCTGGGTTTCTAATACACACAATTTTAAGTTCAATTTTACAGATATCAGTCTTTCATTTGCAAGTTTTTATTTTTAAGATAAAAAGGGGAATTCAAAATCTTGTAGGGCCATGATTGGATTTGAACTCACTGCTAGTTCAGCAACAAAATATCACTGTACTACACTGACACATGAAATTAGTTAGCTTGGGATATTTGAAAAAAGGATCAAGATCTCTTAGCATTTTTTCTTCATTAAATGATCACTTTTAGTAGGTGATTTCGCTGCATTTTAAAACAGGATAAGTATGTAAATGCCTCCCAGATTTATGCAGAAGAAATAAACTATTCTAGCTGTTGATTAAAAAGGAACTGATTTTAAGAATTACTAAATCTCTGTCCCCTCTGCCACTTAATTTTGATCACAACTTTGACAAAAGTCTGCAACCATTTAGATTAAGCAGGAAGGCTGAAAAGGAAGCATCAAATGCAGTTTCACAAATTATATTGGCACTTGCTGCATCTCTCTTCCCCCTCCCCCTTCCCAAAAATCTGGCAAATTCACCTAATCCAGACTAACCTCCATCAAATTAAAACCCTTCTGATGAAAATGCTACATGTCTGAAACAAAGTCAGAGCCTTACCCCAAGGTCACCTTGACCCCAGGGTCATCGCTTCAGCCAAACCCCTAACTATGACCCAAGCCAGATTTGTCAACAAGGCCAAGACATCCCTGGTCAGTGAAATGTGCAAAAGGAGGCCAACACAACCATGGTGACCAGTGTAAACAAGATTAGAGTACTTGGCACCAAATGCCAGTGCCAATAGTAAACAGTGGATCAAAAGTAAACTTAACTGTACTGTCATCATTACAGCCTGAAGGACCAGGAATTCAGCAGGTATTTAAGAACGTAGAACAGTACAGCACAGCACAGTACAGTACAGGCCCTTCGGTCCACGATGTTGTGCCGACCTATTATCCTAAGATCAAACTACCGTGCATACCCTACATTTTACTATCCTGTGTGCGCCTATCCAAGAGACTTTTAAGCAACTCTAAAGTATCTGACTCCACTACCACTGCTGGCAGCGCATTTCACACGCCCACCACTTTCAAAAAAATAATTTCCTGATCTGGCAAGAAAGCGGATACTACCCGGTTAGATGATCTCTCAAACAAACAGTTCTTTCAACACTGGTGTAATTTGCCAGGCAAGGATTACAGCATCTGTTTAACCTTGAGGGCCCTCGTAGCACCGTGGTAGTGTCCTTACCTCTGAGCCAGGAGACCCAGGAACAAGTCCCATCTGTTGCAGCAATGTGTATTAACATCTCTGAACCAGTGGATTAGAAAAATAAATCTATTTAATACCAATGGATTCTTCAGGTGGGATGTTGAATGGGACTGAAAATTCTGTGGTTTTGACAAATATTCTTAAGACCCAGACCTGTCCAACTGTCCAAGCCAGGCAAATGCAATTACATCCTCATAAAATGAACTGATGCAAAGAGTTAACAGGCTAACATGCCAACAGCTTCATCGCTTCCTTTGGTTTGCACATTCCCCCACCATACCATTCAATTACTAAAAACAAGCACTGCACTGCAATGACCCAACAAATAAGTATAACCGAGGCTTAAATGGAAAGGACCCAATGCATCTAAAACAATCCTAAACAAATTGACTTAAAATGAAGACACAGGAAAGGAGGGGAAAAAAGATTAAAAAGGTCCCAGATGATGTGTCCCAGTCGCAGAACGGAACGACTTTTATTTTGAAAAGCTACGCTTAAAAGCCAGCTTAAGTTCAAAACCTGTGCGGCGAGTTGCACAGCGCGTCCAAACCCACTGCTAAATGTTGGCTATCTGACCCCTCCTTCCTCTGCTGTTGACGTTGGTTTCACTTTCTGCTGTCCTGCATGGTTTAGTAGTTGTACTGACGGCGACATGGTTGGTAGACAAAGCTGCCACGGTGCTTGGTCCGTTGGAAACGGCACTCCTTGGCCAGGTTCTGTCTCTGAATGCGGTTACGGCTCAGCTGGCGTCTCTCCGCCCGCTGCTTGGCTCGCTGGATCCGACGGACCTGACTCGCCTTCTCCAGGATACCGCCAGCTCGACCTGCAACTGCTGCAGCAGCGGGAGCAGCCCATCTTTCCACCCTGTGCTGAGGGGTGTTTCTACAAAAGATGAAAAAAAAACATGGATTTTACCCGAGACAACAAGGTGCAGGGCTGGATGAACACAGCAGGCCAAGCAGCATCATAGGAGCAGAGAGGCTGACGTTTCGGGCCTAGACCCTTCATCAGAAAAGGGGGAGGGGAAGGGGGTTTTGAAATAAATAGGGAGAGAGTGGGAGGTGGATAGAAGAGGGATAGAGGAGAGGATAGGTGGAGAGGAAACAAACAGGTCGAAGAGGCGGGGATGGAGCCAGTAAAGGTGAGTGTAGGTGGGGAGTTAGGGAGGGGATAGGTCAGTCCAGGGAGGACGGACAGGTCAAGGGGGCGGGATGAGGTTGGTCGGTAGGAGATGGAGGTGCGGCTTGAGGTGGGGGGAGGGGAAGGGGGTTTTGAAATAAATAGGGAGAGAGTGGGAGGCGGATAGAAGAGGGATAGAGGAGAGGATAGGTGGAGAGGAAACAAACAGGTCGAAGAGGCGGGGATGGGGCCAGGAAAGGTGAGTGTAGGTAGGGAGTTAGGAAGGGGATAGGTCAGTCCAGGGAGGACGGACAGGTCAAGGGGGCGGGATGAGGTTGGTCGGTAGGAGATGGAGGTGCGGCTTGAGGTGGGAGGAGGGGATAGGTGGGAGGAAGAACAGGTTAGGGAGGCAGGGACCAGCTGGACTGGTTTTGGGATGCGGTAGGGGGAGGGGAGATTTTGAAACTTGTGAAATCCACATTGATACCATTGGGCTGCAGGGTTCCCAAGCGGAATATGAGTTGCTGTTCCTGCAACCTTCGGGTGGCATCGTTGTGGCACTGCAGGAGGCCCAGGATGGACATGTTGTCTGAGGAATGGGAGGGGGAGTTGAAATGGTTCGCGACTGGGAGGTGCAGTTGTTTATTGCGAACCGAGCGTAGGTGTTCTGCAAAGCGGTCCCCGAGTCTCCGCTTGGTTTCCCCGATGTAGAGGAAGCCACACCGGGTACAGCGGATGCAGTATACCACATTGGCAGATGTGCAGGTGAACATCTGCTTGGAAACATTCCCAACAACCAGTGAACATCCCAGCATAGAAAGTGGACTTTTAAACCACTTACAATCAGCAATTATAGAAGCATGGACTATTTCCTAAATGGGGAGAAAATTCAGAAGTCTGAAGTGCAAAGAGAATTGGAGGTTCTAGTCCAGGATTCTCTCAAGGTAAATTTGCAGGTTGGAAGGCAAATGCAACTTTGGCATTTATTTTGAGAGGACTTGAATATAAAAGCAGGGATGTACCTCAGACTTTAAAAGGCTCTGGTCAGGCCACATTTGGAGTATTGTGTGCAAGTTTTGGGCCCTGTATCTCAGGAAGGATGTACTGGCCCTGGAGCGGGTTCAGATGAGGTTCATGAGAATGGTCCCAGGAATGAAAGGCTTAACATGTGAGGAACGTTTGAGGACTCTGGGTCTATACTCAATGGAGTTTAGAAGGATGAGGGGGGGATCTAATTGAAGCTGATAGAACACAATGGCCTGGACAGAGTGGATGTTGAGAAGATGTTTCCATTGGTAGGAGAGACTAGGACCCGAGGGCACAGCCATAGAGTGAAAGGAAGACCGTTTAGAACGAAGATAAGGAGAAACTTCTTCAGCCAGAGAGTGGTGAATCTATGGAATTCACTGCCATAGAAGGCTGTGGAGGCCAGGTCATTGAGTACATTTAAGACTGAGATAGATAGGTTCTTGATTATCAAGAGGATATAGGGTTATGGGGAGAAAGCAGGAGAATGGGGTTGAGAAACTTATCAGCTGTGATTGAATGGCAGAGCAGACCCAATGGGCTGAATGGCCTAATTTCTGCTCCTATGTCTTATGGACAAAGCTCAATGCAAGTGGGAGAACGCCTCACTTTCCTCCTAGACACTTTGCAGCATTTAGGAGGCAACATGGAATTCAACAACATTAGAGCATGACCTCTGTCCTCCAAATTTGCCTATAGCTCAGCCATGTCTTGGTGTCCTGTTGGCTTTGCTCTCAGGAAAATACCCACCTTGATTACCCATTTGGTTCACTAATGTCCTTTAGGAAAGGAAACTGCTGTCATTACCTGGTCAGATCTAATATTTGCACTTATTTCACATCTCAATCTCTCCTTTGTCACCATTAGCACTCCCTTTTGCTCTGGGTATCCTCACTACTAGTTCTACTCATCTCCCCCATTCACAATATAAAAACACCAATTTCGGCCCCTTTCAGTTCTGAAGTTGTACCAAATTTAAAACGTTAGCTGTATCTCTCCTCAGTTACTGCTAGACCTGTGGAGTTTCTCCAACACAAAATTTCGGATGTTCAGCATCCGCAGTATTTTACTTTTTTAATTTGATGTTACTCTGATGTTTTTGCTTACAACTTCATTAACTTTTATTAATAAAGTCTTTAGATAGTTTACCTTTTAAAAGATTTTGCCTCAAGAACATAGAACATATAGAACATTACAGCGCAGTACAGGCCCTTTGGCCCTCGATGTTGCGCCGACCTGTGAAACCAATCTGAAGCCCATCTAACCTAAACTATTCCATTATCATCCATATGTTTATCCAATGACCATTTAAGTGCCCTTAAAGTGGGCGAGTCTACTATTTTTGCAGGCAGGGCATTCCACGCCCTTACTACTCAAGTCTACAGATCTGCTTTAATTTCAAAATCAACTTAATCTCCCCTCAAAATGTATTCACAAGCCATTAGGAACAATTTATTTATTTTTGTCATTTACTCCCAACAATTTTTCTCAATGTAACTCATTACCCAAGATGAGATCGTTTTTTCCGCTCTTTCCATGTGGAGTCTTTGGCACTTGGATTGACCGGATTCAATAGACTAGAGTTGTTTTCATTGAAGAGGAAACTAAAAAGGGGCATGATTGAGTGGTGTGAAATTATGGGGGCATAGGCAGGGTAAACAGGAAGAAACTTTTCAACTTGACGGAGGGATCACTGACCGTGGGGCTTAGATTTAAGGCAAGGGGCAAGAAGCTTAGAGGAGATATGAAGAAAAATCTTTTCACCCAGAGGGTGATGGGTATTTGAAACTTATTGCCTTAAGGATGTTACAAGCAGAAACCCTCAAACAAGTAGTATTTAGACATGCACTTGCCATGTCATGGCACCAAGACTATGGGGCCAAGTGCTGGAAAACAGGATTGTAATAGTTAGGTGGTGGTTTTAGACTGGTGCAGACTTGATGGGCCGAAGGGCCTTTTTCTGTGCTGTAGACCTCTACGACTAACTTTTCTTCTATCATCTGCTCAGGAAGAGAGTCCTTCAACTGTCTTAAAGGCAAGTAGAGGATAATTTCATGTTGAGTAACGGGGGTGAAAGGTTATTGGGGGTAGGTGGGAATGTGTGATTTGAGGTTACAATCACAACAGCAATGGTCTTATTGAATGACAGACAGACTTGAGGGGCCAAATGGCCTACTGCTCCTTATTTGTATCTCAGGGTACCTTAGCAGCAGGTGACTCACACCAGCCTCATCAGCCACAGTGAGGAATAAGGTCAGAAAAATATCTCAGAAATGTAAACACTTTATCCCTGGGTATCTTTCTTGTGCATTTCATTCAAGCTCTCTCTTTCCCATTTTCATCGGGTAGTTGTATAACAATTGACTGGCTGGACATTTCCAGTTAGCTCCTTCTCCAGTGGGTTTGAGTTGCTCTTGCTGTGAAATTACAATGTCAGGAATTCCGGTTCCCAGGAATTTCCCAGTTATTGCCTCCACTGGATTTGGGAAACCTACACAGTTCACAGCAATTTGTCAAATGCTTTTTTATAAAACTTGGTAGACTGGAAGCTACGTTTCTTAAAAGTACGAACATAGGAATTGTAGAATTGAAGTGTGACATTTGTCCACAAATTCTATGGTAGATATTTGTAATTAACCTGTTCAGACTGGTCATGCAACACCTCAGATGGGACTTGAGCCCAGGTCTTCCAGCCCAGAGGTAAGGACACTACCACTGTGCTACAAAAGCCCTTATAAGTTCTAAGTATAGGGAGTTAGTGTAATCATTGATGTACAAGATGGATAATTTCAAATCACTTTCATTGATATCTGAAAGCTAACAACCCTTCAGAAAAATTGAACTTTGACATCAAGAATCTGCACAGGGCATTTAATTTGAAACAAAGCAGGATAGCCACCCAACAGATGGCAATGTGGTTAATCAGAACAGGTCTTCCCAAAGTGGGGCTCAGGACTTCCAACTGGAGTCACAAGTACCAAGACAACAACGGGTGACCCCCCCTACCTACCATTTACTGAGGGGTTATGACCATTTAAGGTTTGGAATAGGACCATTGTGGAAAACTTTTGGGAAGCACTGAATTAGAATGTTGGTGTTGGACATCCCAGACCTAAAAATATCAGTAAGGTCACAAGCCTTAAAACAGAAGTACATCAACAACTTGTATCCTACAGTGCCTATAACAGGCCTTTCCAAAACAGGGCTTGGGAATGAGCTGTAATTTTAGGGTTGAGAGTTCCAATCCACCTCCCCTCTGGTCCAGTAGATCTTCTAATCCTTCCTGCATGACTGAGGGGTTTTGACAGCTTCATACTTGAAATGGGATCACTTTTTTTGGGCATGTAGAGTGGTGAGCATGGGAAGCCTTTGGGAAGTACTGGCGTATGATGTAACAAAACATCTAAAGACATGACATAAGAGCATGATTGAACACAATGATATTTAGCCACATAGATTACCACAAGTTTGGGCATAGAGATAGATTTTAAGAAGGGTCTTAAAAGGGGAAGAGGCGTAGAGAAGATATCCCAGAGCCTAGGGCCTTTGCAGCTGAATGCACAGCTGCTGATGGTGAAGTGACCAAAATTGCAGTGCTCAAAGAGGCCAGAATTAGATGAGCACAGGTACGTTAGGAGGGTCATAGGGCTGGAGGCAATTATAGACAAATACTGCATTGGACTTGAAAACAGATGACAAAATTAAATTCACGATGTAATAGAATCATGCAGCACGGAAACAGATCCTTCAGTCTGACCAGTCCATAATCCCAAACTAAACTAGTCCCACTTGCCTGTGTGGTTGGCCGATATCCCTCCAAACATTTCTTATTGATGTACTTATCCAAATGTCTTTTAAAAAATGTTGTGACTGTACCCGCATCCACCACTTTCCCTGGAAGTTTATTGCACGCACAAACCACAAAAAAAAAAGAAATTGCCCCTCGTGTCTTTAAATCTTTCTCTTCTCACCTTAAAATATACCGCCTAGTCTTGAAATTCCCCACCCTAGGGAAAAGTCACTTGCCATTCACCTTATCTATACTCCTCATTATTTTAAACTTCCATAAGTTACCCCTCAACCTCCTACTCTCCAGTGTAAAAAGAGGTCCCAGCCTATCCATCCTCTCCTTATAACTTAAGTCTTCCATTCCCAGCAATATCCTAGTAAATCTCTTCTAAACCCTCTCCAGTTTAATAATATCCTTCATATAACAGAGACCAGAACTAGACACAGTACTCCCGAAGATGCATCTGTTGATTGAACTGTAGGTCAGCAAGCAGAGTTATGGGCAAACAAGACGGTGCAAGTACACTGACAGACTTTGGATGATCTAAAATTTAAAGAGGATAAAATTATGTCAGGACTGTATTAGAATAGTTAGTATAGAGGTAGCAGAGCCATGGGGGAGGGTTTAGGTCACAAATGAACTGAACTTAGAGGGATCAGGAATAAACTAACAGTCCTTTTAAGGGGTTACAATTATATCTCAGCTATGCAGACAAAGTTTAAATGGTTTTTAATCATCTCCTAAATGTTGTGTAAAGATTAGTCACAACACTTTTTTTTAAAAAAAGGACCTTTCATAGGATGTGGTTGCTGACAAGGTCAGCATTTATTGCATGTCCCTGCAGCGAGCTGCCTACTTGAACCAATGCAGCATTGCTTGTATGATTACACAACAAGTTCCAGGAATTTGACTCAGCCATAGTGAATAATGGAAAGTTCCCAAGTCAGATGGTATGTGGCTTAGGGAAGGAAAATTTGCAGGTGGCAGTGTTCTCTGTGAATGCTTTCGTCCTTCAACATGATAGAGGTCATGGATTTGGAAGGTGTTGTTGAAAGAGCCTTTGCAAGTTGTCGAATTACCTCCTGCAAACAGTACACATTGCTACCACTGTGAGCTGGTGGTGGAGGGGGTGAATATCTGGTGTGGTGGATAGAGTATCAAACAGGCCACTTTGTCCTCAAAGGAATCAAACTTCGATGGATTGGGATACTGTACAGGATATTAACCCGTTAAAGGATCAATAAGGTATTATTTAGGTGTGCACTTGCAATGTCAAGGCATACAAAGCTATGGGCCAAGTGCTAGAAAACATGATTAGAACAGTTAGGTTTAGGCAATGCATCAATTTAAATAATTTCTCAAAGGATGGTAATGTTCTACAAACCTTCAACCATATTTCACTTAAGATATGGAACTTAGCATTAACAGTTTTAGGCCATTTCTGCTAAACCACTATTTAAGTGATGAAGTAACTTGTTGACAGAGGAGAATTTGTCGTAGATGAGGTGCAGACAGGTGAACATAATTATAAAATAAAAAGAAAGGGTTGGAGAAACTGAAATGTTCCAAAGAAGGATCATATTGGATTTGAAACATCATCTTTGTTTCTCTCTTCACAGTTGCCATCAGACCTGATTATCTCCAGCATTTTCTGTTTTTAATTTCAAATCTCCAGCATCCAAGGTAGCTTGCTTTCAATTAAGTTGCAGTCAGGAATAATTCAGGGCCACAAGAAAATTCCAACAATCTAATGATTCAAAAATAAGCCTCACACAAACCAAGTTTTATGCCACACTCATTCTGCAGGTTGTAGACTACGGAGTTATTGGGGAATTGCAATTGGCTTCAGTGGTTCACACTCGGGAGGCTTTTTCTTAAAATAAAAGGAAAGCCTGGATTCTTGTTGCTACAATCTGTAACAAGTGTGGATGGCTAATTTCTCAATGTCTGGTTTGGGATGACGTCCTGAGTTTGTAAAAGATGTAACATAATTACAAGTAGTACATTCTGGGAAATTGTTGGCAACTGAATAATAGGGAAGGTGCCAATGTGGGAAATAACCCCTGATTTGTGGCGCTGGCTTGAGGGTTCTCTTGAACAAGTCTGTATTTAGTTAAGTGAGCTTGTATAGGCTGATCTGCACAGTCAGCAGGCACTCCATATTCAATTCCAAAGTTACTGACCGTTCCCTGGTAAATGAACCAAAAGGACGATTTAAAACTTTCAGAAAAGATGAAAGATTTCCTCTGGTATTTCCCCACAGAGGCAACTATAAGACCACAGGTCCATAAAGTGCAAGAACAGAAGTAGGCCATTCAGCCCATCAAGTCTGCTTCACAATTCAATGAGATCATGTCTAATCTGATAATCCTCAATTCCACTTTCCTGCTTTTGTCCCATAACCCTCAATTCCCTTACTGCTTAAAAATCTGCCGATCTTTACCTTGTTCTTAAAGGGCAAATCAGCCTATTCAGCCTCTCCCAAAGCTCAATCACTCCAACACCAGCAACATTCTTGTAAATCTTTCCTGAACCCTTTCAAGTTTAACAACATCTTTCCTATAAAAACTAAAAGAACTGTGGATGCTGCAAATCAGGGACAAAACAAAGTTGCTGAAAAATCTCAGCACGTCTGGCATCATCTATGAAGGAGAAAACAGAGTTAACGTTTCGGATCAGGTGACCCTTCCTCAGAAGTCTGCCTCATGGGTTGTAAAAGATGTAACTTCATTTTGCAAAAAGGGCTTTTTTTTTTTTAAAAAAAAAGTGTCATTTAGTACAAACACCATACAGATTGAAATGAATTAAACACAAAATGAGGAGTTGCACCTAACCAAGAATGTTCTCTGTTGATAATCCAACATGTTTTTGCATTATTTAAATAACCAGATTTATGTTTGAAAAGTTGGCTCTGTGGGGAAATACCAGGAGATTATAAGACCACAAGACCATAAGATATAGCAGAAGTAGGCTATTCAGCCCATCAAGACTACCCCTCATGATTCAAATGAGATCATGTCTGATCTGATAATCCTCACCTCCACATCCTGCCTTTGTCCCATTACTCTCAATTCTCTTACTGATTAAAAATCAGTGTCTCAAACATGAAGTTTCAGCCAGCTTCAACAATCCTCCACAATAATTAATTCCACAGATTCACTACCCTCTGAGAAGAAATTCCCCCTCATCTCTATTGTAACTGAACAACCCCTTATTCAGGTTGTGTCCTCTAGCCCTAGGAGTCTCCCACAAGGGAAACAATCTGTGCACCTCTACCCCATCAAGCCCCCAAAGAATTTTATCATTTTCAATAGGGTTCTCTCTCATTCTTCTGAACCATAAAGAGTACAAACCCCAACCTCAACTTCTCTTCATAGAAGGATACCTCTACACCTAGGGATCAACCTGGTGACCAGTCTCTGGGTTGTCCCCAGTGCCAGTATGTCTTTTCTTAGGAGATCGTAAGAGTGGGATTAAACAAAGAAAGACAAAGCTTATGTGCAGCAGAAAACTAGCTGAACTGTGTTGTTAATTTCTGTATGCTGTATACAATTAAGGAAAAGCCAAACATCTTTTGTTAAAAGCAAAGAACCATGGATGCTGGAGGTCTGAAACAAAACCAGAAAGAGCTGGAGAAACTCAGCTCGTCTGGCAGCATCTGAGAGAAAAACAGGGTTAACATTTTGAGTCCAGTGACCCTTCGTCAGAATCTTTATTATGTCAACAGCTCCAATATAACGTTCCTTGAAACTTAGTAATTATTCCAAAACAAAGCTAAAGAAAGGACTGAAATCAGGCATTAATTTCTGGAGGGACAGAATTAAAAAGCAGAGATGTTATGTTTAACTTGTAAAGAATTCTGATCTCTCTTAAAAAGGACATCATAAAGGCAACAGGAAAATGCAAACTAAATGGCCAGCTTTATTTGACCAGAACGAAAAGGTTAAATCTATCAGAAAAATTGAATGGACTTGGGTTCTTCACTCTAGAAACTCTCAGATTACCCACAGTCTTGGGATTCTAAAGCTATGTAAACGTTTGAAGTAGAGATGGGCAGCATGGTGACTCAGTAGTTAGCAGTGGTGTCTCTCAGCACCAGGGACCTGGGTTCAGTTCCACCCTTGGGTGATTGTGAAAACTCCACAGACATTCTCTGTTTGCGTGGCTTTCTACCGGGTGCTCCAGTTTTCTCCCACAGTCCAAAGAACTTGCAGGCTAGGTGAATTGGCCATGCTGAATTGCCCCAAGTGTTCAGGCTGGGGGGGGGTTAGCTGTAAGAAATGCAGGGATACAGTAGGGGGCGAGTCTGGTGGGATGCTCTTCGGAGGGTTGGTGTAGATCCGATGGGCCAAATGGCCTGCTTCCACACCACATTTGTATTCTATTCTACTGATAAATTTGATGCACAATAGATTACTTAATAGCTTAAAACAGAGAGACTGTTGTTCCCAATTACAAATGAAAAAAGGTAATTGTTACTTTGTACTGAGGGAGGTGGGGGAGAAAGAGAACAGAGAATGCGTTTCTTTAAACAACCAGTTAGGCCTCTTTCCCTTCCATATCTTACCCATCATTGATTTCCTCGCTGGTATCTTCCTCCAAAGTGATATGGGTGTTGCTGGCAGCGTAGACGGACATGCTTGGGTGCTCAATGAGAAGGTTCTCCAGAGGGCTGCTCTCCACTTGGATATCATCCTGGCCTTCTGCAGTAAAACAGGGGGGAGGGGTGACAAACCAACTCTCTTCCAAAGTGCAGGGTAAAGTCTGTGGAGGACTGGAGCCACTTCCACAGCGACAGAGACTCTCAAGAGAAGAGGAGGCTGATGGAGGGGATGCATCAGAAAGGCAAGAGCTAGGCCTGGCAACATTTGCCTTCACTTCCACTTCTTCACTTGAGGGGGGAGTGCAATCATCTAAATTTGGGGGGGTGCAGGTGAGGGATACATGCGACCATCCAGTGACATGAACAGTGGTCATAACAATTTGAGTGAGAATTTAAGGAAAACCAAATCAAAAGAATCAGGTTGAAAGGGGGTAGGTGGGAATAGAGGGAGGGAGTGGGAAGAAAGCAAAACAAAACATAAAAAGACTGATTAGTCATTTTTTCAGAATGACAGGCCTAGTCCAGCATTTTCAAAAGTTTACACGTTGATCCTCCTTAACAGCAAATTGCTAAAGAGCAATTTCCTCCAAAGAGCAATTTTCCATTTGTAGCAACGTCAGGGGAGTTTTCATAGCCTCAGGTGAGAAGGCACAACCCTCGCTTCTTGGTGCAGAACAAGGTTAGTTTTTATGGGCAATGGAGAAAAAAAAAAATGGGGAAAACAATGTTGAGATCCTATTGGCTCGCCAGAAAAGCTGAACTGAGTTGCGAGTAGGGTCAAAAGGAACCAAAAATAACAAAAAAAGCAACCAATCTGGATGTGCATGAATTACTTGGGAGGAGAAAGAAAATATACCCCCACCTTCCCCCAATTCTGGTGAATCTCATTTACTAAAGAATGCAATTATCACCATAATAACAATGCTAAATCATTAACTCTCCTTTACAGAATTATTACACTTATTTTATTAACTATTTAGTTCATTTTCAAATGTTCTTTTTTTAATCAAATCAATATTTCAAATTACCACCTCCTTTTTGATGTTCCCTTAAACCGTGTTCCATAGTTTTTCATAATTAATGATTCACATTCCTCAGAGCACTTCAAAGCTCTACATTGCCATGATTATTAGCATCATTAATTAGAGAAAAAATTGGGGGTTATGTTAAACTTCTAACAGCCATTTGACTGAGGGAGGAGTTCAGAAGTTAATTTGTATTCAGGTTAGATTTATTTCTACAGTCAAACTATTCCCAGTGTCAGTTTTTGTATTTCGTAATCAAGCTGTTCAGAAATGTTATGACACACTTATGGAGCAGGTGGGACTTGAATCCAGGCCTCCTGGCTCAGGGGTAGGGTCATTGCCACTGTGCCACAAAAGCAACTCACCCCAGTGTCTCAAACAGGTGCTCAAATAATGAATGCCTCCCATCTGTTTATTTGAGCACTTTGTCATTCTTGCAGAGCAATAAAAGGTCAAGTCGCTATCGCCCTACCAGGCCATAGGGCTGCTCTCAGAGAGACGATTGGTGGTGGTTTAACCAGAGGGTCACCATGCCTCAGGCGAGGGGAGAGGTTGAGAAGTAACCTCAGCCAGTGCAGGTTTGAAGCCACGCTGTCAGCATCACTCCACATCACAAACCAGCCATCCAGCCAACTGAACTAATTGACCCTATGGCAATACTGCACTTAAAAATAAAAGGCCATCTCATCTTTCTCCTGGTATAAAGGACTCTTGGTGAAGCACTCCCTCCCTTTCTGTATAATGATTTGGAAATGATTAATTTTCCTCAAAAATGTACATAAAGCAAGTTCTTCAATTATTGTGATGCTACTCAATCAGCTGCCATCCATTATTATTCCAGGGTAAACAAGAAAATAAAAGAAGCAATGTTTTCAAACCAAAATGCAAGAAACCATTTGCATCTATCCTTCAACTTGTTTTGCTGCAAATACTGTGACAATATACTTATCATTCCCAAGGTATGTTGATCAACAGCAAAGGCAGCATTTGTGTGTCTCTACTGAAGGTGCTTCACAGGACTATTAGGTAAGGAGTCAAGTATTTTGACCTGCCAAGTGCAGGATCTTCCCATCAATTGGTGAGTCACAAACTGGGGGTCACAGTCTAAGGATTCAGAGTAGTCCAGTTAGGATAGAGATGAGGAGACATTTCTTCACCCAGAAAGTGGAGAGTCTGTGGAATTCACTGCCTCAGAATGTGATTGCAGCCAAAACATTGAATGTTTTCAAGAAAGAGTTAGATATAATTCTTGGGGCTAAAGGGATCAAAGTGGGGAGAAAGTGGGAACAGGATATAGAGTTGATCAGTTATGATCACACTGAATGACAAAGCAACCTCAAAAGGGCTGAATGGCCTATTCCTACTCCTAGTTTCTATGTTTCTATGACCTAATCTCAATGTAGAAAATGAGAATGTATATCTAAGTCACCATGATGAGACTCTTGGAGGGAATGGTGTTGCCATGTACTCAGGTCCTCCTGGAGACAGTCATGTTAGATACGTGGGAACTAGACTTGGAGAAATGTAACAGTAAAACCCCAGGATTGCTTCGCTCCTTGACAGAGAATTAATACATGAAGCTTATGACGACATATCCTGGCACTATTATTTTCCCCAAGTCTTTGAACAGCGTATGTTGCCAAGATGGGGAATGGAAATGGAATCAGAGCGCCCACAATGGGGCGGCTAAAGTAAAATAATTAAAATGGTGAAGTTACAGCAACATGCTCCACCCTTGTCAACGTTGGTTAAATTCCCTCGCTCTAATCAGTGTTAGCACAAGCAATTTTTATCACAAACCTAAATTTGTCGCAGAGTTTCAATATTACACCTACACTTGGAACCGGACTAAGACATTTGTAAACAAATAGAAATCATGAAGATTGTGTATGTTAATTTTACAAAGTATAGAACAAGATAAGGCTATAAGGGAGAGTGAATTATGCATGAAGAGATGCAAAAGGTCCAAGATAAAACTTTGTTGACATTTCTCCTTGGCTCATATTCCCCTTCACAGCATTTTTTTTGTTAAAAAGGAAAGTACTGTTTCTCTACACTGCAGATATAACCTTGAGCTATTACTGGTCAAGAGAAATGGAGGACATGGCACTTTCAAAATCAGTTCAGCTACAAGTCAAATGTTAGCTGGGGATCAATTCTTTTCTTTGTAAAATGTAAAATATAAAATATTTTGTACAGGTTTTTTTTTGACAAGCGATGGGGGAGAAACTTTTTTATTTTTAAAGAAGTGCATGATGTGGTAATGACTTTGAAGTGCAATGTGTGTTTGGACAGCAATTCATAGAACCTCTAGTGTGGAAAGAGGCCATTCAACCCATCGAGTCAGCACTGACCCACCAAAGAATGTTTAAAAATAAGGGGTTACCCATTTAAAACAAATGAGAATTTTTTTCCCCTCAGATGGTTAGGAGTCTTTGGAACTCTTTTTTAAAAGAGATAGTGGAAACAGAATCTTAAACATATTCTAAGGCACGGATAGATACAGTAAGGATAAACAAGGGATAAGCAGCTATTGGGGTAGACAAAAACATGAGTAATCAAATTGGCCAGGAATTTATTGAATGGAAGATTGGGCTTTAGGGGCAGAGTGGCTTATTCCTGCTCCTAATTCATTATTGGTACAGTACAATGGGCTTGAATCCAGCTGGTTGGCTACCAACTGTGCCCTCCAGTACTAACCCACTATCGAGTTTTACACCTTCAAGAGCAACACATTTTGAAATAACCTCAAAGTGTAGTAGCATAGGGAGACAATCAGCAGCCATTTACACATACCATAAGATCTCACAAACAGAAATCAGTAATTAATTGGTTTGAGGAAGACAGGAATGTTGTCCACAGTACAAAAAGCATTCCCACCAAATTTTCAGATACACAAATGTAATCTTCAATATCCAGAATTGGCAGATACCTGCAGGTTACACAAATATCTCATCTAAAATCCGGCCAAGAAACCCAAGCTGGATTTTTAACTGGAAATAACAGCTAAATGCATTATTGAGAGATTATTTTAGCTGGTTACTTGGTTGGGTGGGATGTGACTGGTTTCCTGCAGGGTATATTTACCTGGATGTGGCAATGCTTATGTTATCCATTGCAATATAAGAAATGAAGCTGGACATTGTTATTGAAGAATCCAAGAGATTTGTTGTATCTAGCTATTGTATATAGAGACATTATATTCACAGACCTAAAAGTGTCTGGGCTAATATGATGATAAGTTAAACAAAGGCAGCATGCTTCTTGTAATGCATCATGCTTCAAGTGATCAGAGTTAAGATGGAGTATGTGAACTTTGTACTCTTACATCAAGTCCTCTCATACAGTAATTGTATCAGGGGCATGTCCCTCAAGGGAATGAGGGATACTGACCGAGACATATAACATAATCAAGGGGAAAGGCGTGGGGGAACAGAAAGTAAATGCAGGGTAATACGGAAAGAAACAGAAATAGCACTGATAGTACAGCCACAATGGACTGAATGGTCTCCTGAGTTGTATAATATAAAATATTTTGAGAAACTGTACACTATTTTTGCCAGCTAACAGCCAGCTGAGAAAAAATGTCTCAAACCAGTTTCATTAGTATGCATATTAATGACCTTAGGGACAGTTACAGATTGTTCCAAACAGTTTGTTCTAAAGCACAAAACTAGGAAAGAAACAATAATGCAAGAATGTCAAATCAGAATGGCAAGTGCACTGCTGAAAGGCTGCTCCCACACTTGCACAGGTCCCCAGATGGGAAATTCCTGATTTCAGCACCACAAGAGGGTAATAATGTTTGCGAATTCACAGATGCACAGTAACATCATGGCCACAGGTAAGACTGAACAGGGATGAAGTGGATTGAGGTCTGTTTCAGCTCACTGTTTGTTTTGCCAATTATGGATGCAGGGCCCTCTGCTTTATGTACCACTGTGTAGCAACATGGGTATAGACTGTGCTGGCATACTGGCTGCTCCCCACGCAACTCCGCTTTTGTTTTAATAACGACCCTGTTAAAGTCAGAGACTGAACAACAATTGTACTTATCTAGCACCTTTAGCATTATAGTATCTCCCAAGGCAGTGTGGTAAAGTAAAATGATCCCAAGTTATTACAAGGAGCTACTAGCTAGAGATAAACAGTTTTTTGGCCAAAGATGCAAGCTTCAAAGGAACATCTTAAGACCATAAGATATAGGAGCAGAAGTAGGCCATTTAGCCCATCGAGTCTACTCCATCATTCAGTGACTTCTTGGTTGATCTGATAATCCTCAGCTCCACTTTCCTACCTTTTCCCATAACCCTCAGTTTGCTTTCTGATTAAAAGTCTGTTTATCTCAGCCTTGAATATACTTAATAATCCAGCCTCAACAGCCCCCAACACTAAAGAATTCCACATATTCTCAACCCTCAGAAGGAATACTTCATTTGTACTGAATGTGCGACCTCTGACTCTGGGACTATGCCCTCTGGTCCGAGACTCTCCCACAAGGCAAAACAACCTTTCCACGTCTACCCTATCATTTTCTCTTGCAAAAAGCTTGCTGAGTGGCAGTGAGACAGAGGTCTAGGGAAAGAATTCCAGTGCTTTGGGACTAAGCAGCTGAAGGCAAGACTTTATGGGAAGGTGGAGACCAGTGATGCACAAGAATTAGAGGAGTGAGTTACAGGATGATAGCATGGAGTTTTGGAGTTGAATACAATTAGAGATAGGGAGAGGAGAGGCCGTTGGAGAATATGAAAGCAAGGATGAGAATTCTTAAATTCAGACATTACTTAATTGGGCTCAATACCAGTCACTCTAAAAAAAGTTTCCTAGCCAAAGAAATCCACACTGTTCAATGGACACATTCACAAGCAGAAGTATTCTCTGGCTTGAAGTCCTTTAAAAAAAAAGGAATAGAATAGAAGGAATCTTGATGACTGACATGGACACAGTGGACCAAAGGCCTTCTTTTCCATGAAATGAAAACTCTGACTGTATCTTTGTCCCAAAATGTCAAGTCCTAGGATTCTGACATGTTCCAACATACAGGAGATGTAGAAATGGGACAGAATATCAGTTTGTTTGATTTGCTGACTGAATTTCATCTAAACAAATTGCAAAGTTCCCATTATTGACACTACATAATTATTCCCAATGACACAATTGCACCATCCATCATAAAGACCTCAAAAATGTGCATGTCATGTAACTTTGAAATTTGACTCAGTGGCCTTATTTTTAAAAAAAGCTTGGACTTGTAGCAAAGTTCTTTCTCCATCCCTCTCCTTCCTCAAGAAATTCACACCTCTAGGCAAGAAAAGATTAAAAATGCACACAAATGCAATGTGGTCCTATTCATTCGCTTGTTTCTACACAATGGGAAGCAGAGATTTTATGGAATGGGGTACAACCTAGCAGCCCCAAGGGTTAGAAAATTACAAGGATTAGAAAATAGGTTCAAGGTGAGAGGGGAAAGATTTAAAAGGGACGTAATGGGCAACTTTTTCACACAAAGGGTGGTGAGTGAATGCAATGAGCTCCCAGAGGAAGTGGTGGAGGCTGGTACAATGACAACATTTAAAAGGCATCTGGATGGGTACATGAATAGGAAGGGTTTAGGAGGGATATGGGCCAAATGGGACGAGATTAATTTAGGGTATCTGGTCTGCATGGACGAGTTGGACCGAAGGGTCTGTTTTCGTGCTGTACAGCTCTACGACTATCTACGACTCTAAAATGCTTCTACACTGAGGTGTATGACAAATAGAGTACCCAATCCTGGAGACATAGGGGAACCTCAAGTTGAGTCTCAGACCTCAGCTGAATGCTGTTGAGGTTTTTATTATGTTTTTAAAAAAGTCACAAGTTTGGCCACAGTGGTTGAAGTACAGGCAAACCTGAATGCATTGCAGCAGTGATATTTTAGTGCAGCTGAATACAAGTTTTAAAAAGACACTTCCATCTTTATATAAAAAATAAAAATTTACCTTCTCACATCTTTCTAAAAATGCATACTCTTGTACCCACAGACCTGATTGCAGAAGCAACAGCCGTGATCTTTGAGAATTCATCTAAAATGTTGTAATTATTGTGAGCTGCTTTTGGTGTCAGATTTTCCTATGCAAATTATTGCTTTGATATATTCTAAATACAAAAACCAAATGCTCTATATACGATGGCAAACTGCTCTGTACTAGATAGAACAACTTCAGAATTAAATTTACAACAGAGATTTGGTATACACTGCTAGCATGAAATGATTGGCCACACTTAGAGGAGAAAATCTGGGGAGCTTTGAACTTACCTGGAAAGTCAACAATGAGCCAGCCATCATCCTCCTTTTCAGTCAAGCTGGGATCAGGACCCTGGGTGCAGACTTCTTCTGTTTCCCCATAGAAAAGGCTGGTGAGTCGGTGGAACATGGTGGTCTGGCTGTGAAGCTGGCCAGCAATTTAAATGCACAGGCAGACAACCAATCTCTTAGGGGGAAGAGAAGAGGCTGGTGAGCAAACAGTGCCCAATGATCGCTCAGGCAATGTTCAGCTGAACAGAGACCACAATGCAAAGTGCTGTCATATGGTCGTTCACTTGGGTTTACATGCAAAGACGACCTGGAAGAAAACATGGCAGGGAGAGAAAAAAAAAACACTTTACTATATCTTTCAGTCATTACCCAACAACGCTGATTAATTGTGAGTTACTGTCCCCCAGCAGGTTAACATAGTTAACAAAGGAAGCAATAGTACTTCCATTTTAAATGTGTTAGATTAAATGTGTCAGTGAAAACCTCATTTAATTATGTAACTGACCTCACACTATTTTGGCTAACACAATCAGATTCAATAAAAAGCAAAAAAAGTGCTGGAGAAACTTAGGTCTGACAGCAACTGAGGAGAGAGAAACCATTAATGCTTTGAGTCTACTTCTGAAGACTTGAAAAATTAAAACTCTTTCTTTCTCCACAGATGCTGCCAGACCCATCGACTTTCTCCAGCGTTTTTTTATTTCAGATTTCTAGCATCGGCAGTATTTTGCTTTTTTGATGGAGAGTTTCAATGTTAATTGGGGTGGCCAACTTGGGTTTAGTGTTGTGATGGAGATTTACAGTTCTCCTCTCACTCCACACAATACTCCAAACACTGAAAACCCACGATCAATCCTCGCAGTGCATGAACTCCGATACTCAATGGGCTGAATGGCCTCTTTCCGTACCAAAATTACTTCCTGATTGGCCACAAAGTTGAGTTTTACCCATTGGTCAGACAACTAACTTCCTGCCATCTCCAATATTTTGACAATTAATATATAAAAATGTAAAGAAAATGCAGTATTTTCAAAGCTGTGATTTCTCGCTGGAGCTGCTCACTGTAGTGTCCTGAAGATAAATCTTCAAATTTCTGGAGTCTCCAGACCAGCCCCAATGTTGAGTGTCTCTGGTTAAATAAGTGTGCCAAAACAGCTAAACGGACAAGGTACCAGTAGAGTTCAGTGACAAAGAACCCTTATCCTGAGGGAGATAAAGAATTCAACTCTTCAGGAAAAGGAGGGAAAACAGTTCTTAAAGAATTATTTAAAAAACAAATTCTCCCTCCTTTCTTTTCTAAAAGAGAAAAGAAAATTTTCCAGCACTCAATCAGCTGAACACACAAGTTCAGATTATAATTGGGGCTTTTCCTTTTGATGTTCACATTCAAGTTTCACTACATCATATTAGGTGTGTCAGATGACATGATTCTGACAGCAAGAACAAGATAAGGCCATCAAGCCAACAGTTAGTATTGAAGATTTAAAGAGTAATTGCTGACTCCCCCCAGCATCGATACACAGTTGCAGCAGTGTATACCATCTACAAGATGCACTGCATCAACTCACCAAGTCTCCTTCGACAGCACCTTCCAAAACCCATAATCCAGAAGGGCTAGGGCAGATGTGTGGGAATAACAAATCCTCAAAATTCCCGTCCAAGCATCACACCATTTTGGAATTGGAATTACATCACGCTCCTTCACTGTTATGGTAAAAATCTTGGAACTTTCTTCCTAACAGTACTGTGATGGTCCCTACAGCAGATAAACTGCGGCTTTGCAAAAAGGCAGTGACCACTACCCATTCTTAATTGCCTGGAGGTGATGAATGCAAGGCTAGCTTGCAACGCCCAAATCGTACAGACAAATTTTTTTAAAAATTTATATATAGTTACAGTAGTATAGGAATTCCATGGTAATGACAAGCTGTTAGAAGGTACATCTCTTTTCAGTTTTGTTAATGCAATGTGATTTCTCATTTCCCAGCTGATTTTTTCCTGAAAAAAGGTTTCACCAACTTTGGAGTTTTGCTACAGAACCAAAATGTAGCATTTTATCAAGAGAAAAGCAAGTGCAGGCACTGGGGAGATGTGCAAACTTAAAAGTGGAATCCATCGATCACAACTAAGTAAAAAGGAGAAAGACAGTGTGGCATTTTAAGATCACATTAATACTAGAAACTGCAGGGAATAAGTTTATACATTTTCTCCCTCCCCAACAGAGGATGAGAGTTAGCAAACACAAGCTCCAACAGGTTGTTAGATAGCTTTGGTTTAATTGAAAGTAGTCCTACTAAGAGTTCACATCTCAAAAGAACATTGAGAACTTAAAACTTAGTTTTAAAGTTTTGAAAACAAAGTTGACACCAACAAAAAAAAAAAAAAGGTGGCTATGAGGCTAAATAAAAAGCGAGAGAACTCGAATGCTGTAAATCAGAAACAAAAACAAAATTGCTGGAAAAGCTCAGCAAGTCGGGCAGCATCTGCGGAGAGAAATCAGGAATAACGTTTCGGGTCAAGTGACCCTCCCTCAGAACTATGATGCTGTTGGGTAGATGTTTAAAAAAAATTTTAAGTATATCAGGGAATGAAAACTGCCTTCCATCCCTGGTATCAACAATATGTTGGCTCCACTGCATACCCTTAGGCTTGAGTTCAGAGTGCCCTGTGAAGTTAGTTGGCAAGTCATTCATTTATATCAAACTTAATGCAATAACTACCAGCCCCTTGCCAGTGATACCCACCTCAAAAAGAATGATTTTTGAAAAAAGATTCTGCTAGTCGTTTCATAATAGGCCCGAAACGTCAGCCTTCCTGCTCCTCTGATGCTGCTTGGCCTGCTGTGTTCATCCAGCTCTACACCTTGTTATCTCAGCTAGTTGTCTGACTAACCACAAAGCAAACACACAAGGCTAGTATTAAACATTTAGCAGTAATTCAGAAAGAGGGAAAGAAACTTGATTTTATACAATGTTTCTCTCAAACACTGCTCATTGAAGTACTTTTGATATGGAGTCATTGTCAAGATGGAGGTGGTGTAGGGCTCCTGAGCTGGAGCTCACAGCTCCGTTGGGTTTTTTCCCTGTTTTCTAGATTATTTTTCCTTTCTACATTCCTCTTGTCCTCAGACGACATCAGTCGCTACACGTTGAGTCAGTGCAGAGTTGAGTCGAAGCCCAGCGCTGACTCATCTGCTTTTACTTTTTTCCTTTCTTTCTCTGCTCTTCAAGAGAACGTTAACCTTATTTCTTTTCTGTAGAGAGCAGCCAGCAGCTTCAGTAGTTGCTGCATTGTAGAGATCGGCCCAGTGTGGTCTCATGGTGGCGATGTCATTGATAGAGGCAAGGTGATGCCAAAGAATGGCAACATGGTTCCATAGCGGCAGGGCCATGAGGGGACTCATGTTAATGATGGTCTCTGGAAGAGCCCGGATAGGGCCATAGCTAAGCACTTGAGAAGGACCGCAATGCTAACCTTTTAACTTTATTTCTTTATTTTCTACTTTATACCTAGGTACCTTTGTACCCAAGATGGCGCTGGTATACTCCTGTATCCCTGTACTCGAGTACATGTGATGATAAAACCCGATTTGATTTGATTTATTGTAGTCACGTGTACCTAAGTACAGTGAAGAGCTTTGTTTGTGAGCAGTACAGGCAGATCATAAGAACATACAGATCATAGGATGCTCAGAGTGAGGCTTACAGGTTACGCTGCACAGGAAGTGCGCAAAGTAAAATTAACAAGAATTCTAATGTAGAAAACATGGCAGCCAATTTGCAAGTTCACACAATCAGCATCGTGATAATGACCAGACAGACTGTTTAACTGATTTTGATCTAGGGATAAAATCATTGCTGAGGACACAGGGCAGAATTTAAAATTTGCTTCAGAATAGTACTACAAAGTCTTTTCCATCCTCCTGAGAGGCAGAGGAGAGGCCAGCCTTGGTTTAACATTTATCTGGCAGTACAGCTTGGTCTCTGTACATCAGCCTCTATTTTTGTGCTGAGGTTCTGGACGGAGATGGAACCTAGAATGTTGAGACTCAAAAGGGATAGGAAGGCTAAAACAGAGCCCACAGCTGGTATTTAGCTCACTGTGTGATCAGCAGAGCTGTAACTTCCAGTTGGGAGTTAAATAGCAATTCTTCTTTTGTGCTTTATAGTTCATTCCCAAACATTTACAGGACTTCACCTATAAAAGTAGGACAAGTGCTTTGTTTTTGCTCAGATAACATAGCTCCTATGTCATTACATTATGTCAGCTTTCCCTCTACTCTATTCTCCAAGGGCAGAGTGAAGATATAAAATCAACGACCAAAATAAGAGGCTTGTGGTTTGAGGTTGTAATTTAGGAATCAGACATTATATCTTCCCAGTTAGAGAACTGTTTCCATGCTATCGTTGTGACCTGGCATCACTGCCAAATGGATGTAGAATTTAATAACGGTACCCAACCGATTGAGTTACAGATTAAAATCTACTGAGATATCCAGAAACTTGAGATAGTTGGTAGTGAATCACAAACTGGAATTTAATAGACAGATTCAAATTCCATCAGCCTAGAGAGTTACAAATTGGGTGCAAGATGTCAGAAAGTTGGGTTAAGGAAAAGGCTTCTGCTGTTTATACAGCACTTTTTACATCCTCAGCATATCCCAAAGCACTTTTTAGCCACCTCTGAAGGAGTAGTTACAATTGTTACTGGTTAACTGTAAACTTTTGGGGAGGTGATGGCTTAATAGTATTATCACTGGACTATTAATCCAGAGACTTAAGTAATGTTCTGGGGACCGGGGTTCAAATCCCACCATTGGCAGATGGAGGGATTTGAATTCAATAAGAATCTGGAATTAAGAGTCTAATGATGACCACAAATCCATTCTCAATTGTCCGAAATGCCCTTTAGGGAAAGAAACTGCCATCCTTACCTGGTATGGCCTACATGTGACTCCTGAACCATGACAATGTGGTTGACTCTTAATTGCCCTCTTGGCAATTAGGGATGGGCAATAAATGCTGGCCTAGCCAGCAATGCCCTCATCCTGCGAATGAAAAAAAGCTGGATTTGTCCAACCGGTCACCGTCTTGAAGAAAATATCAAAAAGGTGATATTTTAATAATTCAGGCCATGGCTAAAGATGGGACATGTTTCTCATTTCATTGGGAGATCACCCATTGTTGGGAAATGGGGTGCACTTGACGTGTTGCTTTGAGACTTTTCTCTCCTGCAAGTTTCAGAAGGTCTGAAACATCAAGAAATTGCCAAGAGGCAGCCAGTGTCAAACTCAGACTGGCATTATCA